AGTGAAGGTATAAATGTCTTTCTGAGGTAATATCTCTTACATGAAAACAAAATGTGGTTGAATGAACACAGCTGAACATGTGGCACCCGTATTCTTGTCAAATCCGAGGAAGATGATGTAAATGATATCTTTTCTATCCTCAAGCTCAAATCTAGCTGGCGAATAAAAATTGGATTATTCATCTGTCAAATTGCTGCCATTTTCATGCATGGAGGTTATGGGGTCTGGGGTGATTGAATTAGCCTGGGATCAATACACCTCCTGGGATTTTCAGATGCATTCTTATAAAAAAAAGAAAGGAACATGTGCAAAGAATTGCAACATTTATTGAATTGTTTTAACGTAAAAGGCTATGTGGTTTGGGGAGGGGGGGGGGAGAGATAGAAGATGTGCTTTAACTTGCATGGTGTTAAGTACGGATAATGGTCCATGGAGAAAAAAAGAGATCAGTAAGCTTTGAAAATTGATCAAGAAAAAAAAATGAACCTGAAGATGGATGGGATGAATAGCAAGTTTGGATATTTTAGGAGTGGAGGGGGAGGGGGGAAAAAATTAAATTGTTACTTTTCCCATTAGACCTGGCATCCTTCACTGAAAACCTTACAAAGAGACTTATTATGTTTTAAGCATAGCATATTACATGAAATGTATGCCTGTGTTCCTTCTGTGGTTTTTGGATCATTGAACTTTTCCACACACAAGATACTTCTTTGAATTCTGTCCCTTAATTTGGTTTATGAGTGCTCATAAAATACAATTGAATTAGTGTTACATATTGAGTATCACAAGGCACCATAAAACAACAGCGAAAAAAATCTGGAAAGTGCTGGATTGATTGATCTGCCCTTGCCCCCTATAATTGGGATCCAGTCTTTGTAAAGTCTATCTGCTTTTATATCATCAATTGCTGATCAATGAGGTGTTGAGGTAGTAGCCTATAAAGAGAATATTGCTGTTATCACAGCTCAGTGCTTTCCAATACTGTAATGTTAGTATTGGAATAGTTTGGGTCAGGGTATAGTATGACTTGTTTGATGTGGTATTTTCCTCATGCATACCACAAACAACAGTTTGAAAAACTTGACTGGAGACAGTTTTTGTTTGTTGGACAACCTTCTGTGACAATTGAATGAATGTGCCATTCCGTTATGTGCATGATCAAAATCAACCGCAGAATGCAGATACAGTTACTTCTTATACTTACAGCATTCATCAAAAGAAAGAAGTGGTTTTTGGGATGATTATTACTCCGTTCTGGGGGTCGTGAACACCATCACTCCCCAATAATTATGTGCACCTAAAGTGGTGTCAAATATAAAGTCCAGGGATGGTTTAAAGTTCATCATTTACATACATGTTTGTAATTCCAGACATAAACTAGCCAACCATATCAGTTTATTTTTATAGTTTATTTAGCTTAGCCAGATAAACCAGGGTTTCATTTGTTTTGACCTAAGTAATAAGAGAAGAGGCTAGTAGTCTAACCCTACTCATTTCACATTATATACATATTGTCAACAGATATCCTATAACTATGTATTTTTACAGAAAGCATACAATAGTATATTTTTCCATCGGATTTCTATGAAGAATATGCCCTTTGTTGTCTGATGTGATTGCAACTAGAAGCTCTATGCCACAGGGGGGTTGTGTATGCAGAAGCCAGATATGTGTTGACCACTTTTCTTTTTCATTTCAAGAAAATGCCATTTGTTCCAAAACTAAATGAAATTGTTAACATTGTTATCCTAGCCAAGGCACGTATGTCAGTCTCCCACATCAGTACCATGTTGCCTGTAATTGGAGTGGAAAGGGGAAACAGTTTTTCGATCTGTTGTTGAAACAGAAACATAAGTTTTTTTTTATCTATTCAGGGCTTAACATAGTGTCCAATATCATGGGATTTTGTATGCTCAAAGTTCGTACCAAATCTACTCATTTGAAGCCGGAGTAACAGTACCAAATTGAAATAAAAGATAAATTTTCACACAAAAACTAGCAAACCAAAAAAAAAAAAATTATATTGCAATATGTTGCATATAGTGCATTTTTTATCAAAAAGCTTGGCGAGACAGATGTTAGTGGAATTGAACATTAGCCCGGAGGATAAAAAGAAACGAGAGTGAAAAATCAACATTTATCACCATTTACCACTCATGAAATCAAATCAATGATACATATTGTTCTCTATATGTACACACTTCAAAGTATTACCACATTTCTTCTGTTACCTTACAACAGTAGTACTAGCATAGTCTGTAGAACTAAGTAGATTCTTAGTAACACCTTCTGTTCTTTTTAATAGTGCTTGTCTTTGCTAGTCAATATGTTTATAAAGCTCTTCGACAGATGGCTAGAGGTGATATATGCACTTGGAAAACAAGCTCTTATGGATTATATTTGTTTAGAATGGTAGTGGATTTCTGGTGTAGTTAAAATGGGCTGTGGGCCCCAGTCTTACAAGTGATTTCAAGGGGGATAATTGATTAAAAAATTGATGGGAGAAATATGCACTAGAAGCCCTCATTGCTCATACACATGCTTAAACTAACAATATTAAAAATACCAACCAAATATCAGTACCCAGTATCTTTTGGGAAAACATTTTGTATATAGTTTGTTGAGCACTGTGCTGCAACATCTGCCGCAACTGAGTAGGTTCTGAGAAGTACTTGGTACGAGACTTAGTCAGCGAAGCCTGTGGTAGAAACCCTCTTCACAGACAAAGACAGGACTCCCAAGAGGGGATACTTGTCCCACTGAAATTGAAATGATAGTGATGACTTTCATTAAAAATAAGCAATAATAACTCGGTTCATATTGTTAATGAACTGAATCACCCAGATAGCCATGGGTCACATGTTATGTGGAACATTGTGCAACTAACATATGGGTCTGAGTGAAAATGACCTTATCAATAGAGCCGTGGTTAATTAATCCCTTGTCAGCAATACTGAATGCTGCAAAGTCACCAGAGAAATCATAGGATTCAACAAAGCGAGGAGAAAAATAAGTTTGTAATTTGAGCATAGGGGATAGGTTGACTTTTTGTTGGTTTGCAAAAAAAAAAGTAATATCTTGATTAGGTATGAATTTTGCTATCGATCGTGCACGGGTTTCTATCAGTAAATGAGCAAGGGATAGTGTGATACTGTGGCATTGAGCACACTTAAAGCGCTGCGCCACTCAACTTATCTTTGACATGATGAATTAGACCTTTAATAATACCTACATAGATTTATAATACTGTGCCAGTGGGACATTTTTTTATGATTGAAAGAAAATAAATTTTTCCTTCACCCACCCATAAGTATATTTTTTACCTTTTATCCAAACGAGTGTCTTTCTACTTCAATTGGTTACTCATCAATTTCCAAAAAGTAATATCAGGGTAAGCAATTGGTTGAGGAATATATCTTTTGTAGTTTCACATCTGAAATCAAACACAACATCTTTTCCACTCTTTGCCTCTAATATTCAGGACATCCTTTTGATTGGAAGCCAAAAACATATCAGCCACCGAACATCTGTGCATTGAGACTTTCACTTACTTTTTTGCAAAGATCATTTTTGCAATTGGTAGCAAAATGAATTTTGTATGTAATAGTGCTAGTCACAGGTCTTTCTCAGTGGGCATGTTCTAGGTATATACATATTGGGAGTTCATGACAAAAATTGACTTTGTCTCTTGCTCGTGAGCGAGTCTTTATCATTTGCGACTTCCTGCTGGAAACTTAATCAGTCTGAAAGATGATCATCACATCGCAATTGGCATATTGCATGCAAGCAGTAATGTGTATTAGATGTTGATGTCAGCAGTAAACCTCTCAAACACTAGAAATAGTTGTTGAGAGGAAAAATTCATTCATTCATTAGGTGCATTTAAATGTTAAAGATAATGTTTGTTTTTGAATCATGCTGTGGAGAAAATACAAGGTAATGAAGATGTGTCTGTTTTGCTGCCAGACTAGGTTTTAGATAAAATACCTTATAAATCAAAACACTCCCCCTTATATTTCAACTGTCTGGGTTTAAAATTGAAAAGAGTTTGTTATTTGTCATTTTCCATTCAGGGAGGGTTTTATTGTCCTTTGTTTGTGGGAGAATTTCTCAAACAAAGCCATTCTGTACAACCCGGGAGGGCGGGCCTGGAGGATAGACAGCACACTGGGTAAATTTGAACAGACTCAGCCAATTAATATTGCAATAGTCTCTGCTGTGGGAAATCCTGTATAATACATAATTGAATTATTTTCTTCATAATGCACTAACAATAGAAACTGCCTGGTCTGCATTTGAACTGCTCTTCAAGATGATATAACATTTGCTTGAGAAGAAGGCTTTTGTTTTTCCAAAGACATCTGAAATGTCAAAGGATGGTTTTATACTGCTTACGGTTTTTGTTAAATCTGACGTGGAGGAGGCACCTTAAAGAATGCCTTTTCCATGGATCAATTGACGTTTTTTCATAGTGCATAAAAAAAAGCATTCAGTAAGTTAAATTTAATCTCGTAAATCTGTGGAGTATTGTTGCAGTTTGTTTTTAAAATGATATCAGGATTTACTTCAGAAATAAACAGAGGATCAGTGCCAACTTGGAAAAACCAATGAATGCATGATGTGTGTCACTTGAGAGAATGAGGGATCTTATGTGGGTGTGTGATCTGCATTCTTAACAACATTGCATTCAATCAATCTAACTTTTCATTGCTTTCATCTTAGACTTTGCACATATACTACTAATGTATCTTGGGCATTTTTCAGAGTATCCCTTATAGGCATTGCTGACAACTTGCTAAACTGTGTGTGGTTTTAAAGATTCTTGCAGACTTGTGCCTCCCAACATAACAACAGAACATCCCAGCTCTGCTCCTCACTAGATGCTTGGGATGTTCTATTGTTGTATCTTGGCTGAACTTGGCATGACAGACTGCAAATTGAATTAAACTATTTCTCACTTAGCACTAACTAACCAAATACATTGCATTAATTACGCACAGGTGCAAATACCTCTACCCTGGAGTTCCGATTTGTCAACTATGTAACACGTAAGTAGCAGGTAGATGCATGGTGCTTGAGCAGGTATGACCAGTTACACCACAAAGGCAAAAAGAATTTCATAATTAGAACAAAGTAAACTTCTCCCACTTCAAAGTCAACTACCTCTTACATAGGCATACATGTATGTGCAGATATGTGGTTCTGCAGCTAGCAACTCGCAATATTTTTTGCAGAATTATAAGGAAAAAGTAATAATACTGCCAGAAAAAAAGGTAGGATCCATTTTCCTACATATGAAGTCCATTTTTCTGAAATATTCTAGCTTTGGGTTTTGCTAAGTTAGTTAAGCCTTTACGTCATACAGTCTGATTTTCAGACAAACAAAACTGTTGGAGTGATATGTAATTTTATCAGGAAAACTTGGCACAATAAAACGTACCAGTTGCCTAGGATTTACTCATTAGGTGGTTATTCTAAAGCAGTGGTTACCACAACAGGACTGCAAAATAAAGAGAACCTTTTTAGTTAGCACCTTCAAAGGATCATGTCGTCTCACTTTTCACTTCAAATTGGTAAAAGTTGGGTGGGAGACCCCTGTACCTCTTCACACACAACGATAATGAGTTCAGGATGTGTTTGAAGTCTGCTAGGCATGCTTAAAAAACTCATTTCTAGAAAAGAATTGAAATCAGATCTGTTGTTTTAATACCCAGGTCAAAACGTCCAGCATCTTTAATATGTAAGTTTTTTTCCTTTTGCATTTCCATCTGTGTTAGGTAAGTTCTTGAAAGCCAGACTGAAAAAATGAACATTTAAAGCTGGCATGTACGAGTTAAACAAATTTGGAGCTCACTTTAAATGTTCTCAGCATAAAACCTAGGTTATTAACGTATTTGCAACACACACCATGCAGAAAATATTTTTTTGCCTTTGTGATGTAGTTGGCATATACTACTAACAGCACTGTGTGATAAAAGATCATGTCAAAGAAAAGATAAAGATGTATTAACTTTCAATACAATCAAAGTCAATGTTGAAGATTTTTGTTTAGTTCTGAAGTTGCCACAAGAAACTGTTGCCTGTTATGCAATGAAAGAAAGCATTTCTTAGAGAGGTGTTGTCTGTTCTGCAAAGTCACAATGGTGGCAGCGGTGGGATCAATCTCAAGTACAACTTTGCAGTCATAGATAAGACCTAAGTCTAACTTTTATGGCAGCAGTTTTTTGTGGCAGTTTTTGAAACTTGGCAAAAATCATCTGCCGTGATTTTGTTGTGTTTAAAGTGATGTGAAGTTTGACATGATTCTTTTTGCTTTGTTTCCCCCTTCTGGTTTGGACTGTTAGTGCTTTTATTACCTTTGCCCTCTTAACTTCTATAACTAGGGTGGGGGTAAAGACATCAAAGAAAGATGAATAATTTTCCATTCTTACTCTTTTTTCAGATGAACCCTCAATAATCCAATCTCCACAAAGCAAGAAGGCTCCAAATGGAGGTATTGTGAGCTTCTTTTGCAAGGCCAGTGGGAACCCTGCACCAGATATAAAATGGCAGAAAAATGGAAACGATTTGGGTACCTCAAAGCAACGCTACCTGGTATTTGATATGCCATTTGGGTCCGTCTTGAGGATAGAGCCGGTGAGACAGAGAAGAGATGATGCTATGTTCACATGCACGGCCACCAATGGGGTGGGAGAGGCAGCCTCTGCTCAAGCACAGTTGACGGTATATCCCAATGATATGGGTATGTCATTCAATTATTAGATGTCAAGATTAAAAAGCTGATGGTGCTAATTTGTACTTTATTGCTACTCATTCATTTCCTATGTGGTTGTCAATTTCCCATGATAAGATATCGGGATTGGTATTAGATATCTGATGGCGTGAGTGAATTAGCAGGCAAAAAGCATGATCTGCCACTGAAATGGTCCTATATCACATAAAACCACAGTCCACAGTGAAGTTCCCAATCAAGACATTATATTCGTATGGCAAGCTGAATATCAGCCTGTCTAAGTGCCAAAAGTTCAGAGATCTGTAGCATTTTCAAAAGAAAGTTTTTCTAGTTCCATCTTTTTGCCCAAGGCATAACAGCTGTCATAGTAAGTGATGTTGACATCTGGGAAGAAAGTTTCTTCTGTCTGTTCTGTTTGCTTATCATATCTTCAGTGGGGAAACGCGAAACATCCATTCCTTTACTTTCTTTATTTCAGCATCATGCCCGCTATTCAGTCCTTTTGCTCTACTGTCAGTACTACTATACAAGAGGAAGAGCAATAACATATTATATTAAGATGTAAGCTTTTCAAACAGACACAGAGTGTGTGTAAATTGATAGAAGTACGAGAATAAGTTGATATTTCCTCTGCTGCATCTATTCATCATTCATCATCCCGTGCATTGTGGATTCGTTTCCTGTCATTTGTGCCGAGGATAGATAGATAAAGTTAATCTTTTATCTCTATATTGGCCAGCCAGTTCATTGGCGTGTGGAGGACATGTCACCTTTCAAATTTCATTATTAAAATCATGTTGAAATACTGCATCACATATTTGCTTTATTTTATTATGTCATCATACAACTGCTCTATTGGTAAGCATTCTCTGCTCTTGATAATCATTTCCCACAAGATATCTAATTATACACACCTACCGGCAAATTTTAATGTAATTTGTTGTGTACTATGGATGAGAACTTGCCCATAATTTAATTTACCTCATATGTTATTTATGAGAAAGTATGAAATAGCTCAGGTTTTCTTCCTGGTCTGTAATACATGAGTTTTGAAGTTTTGTCTGATCATGCATGAGTGTATTACAAACAAGTTACCAGTTTTTGCACCAAACCTAGAGCAGACAGAAAGGCCATGGGAATAAATGTTTTATCTTCTTAACATGGCCATCCTTCTCTTCTCTTATCACCACCAAAACTCTCCCTGTTCTATATTTTTCTATAAAAATGAAGAAAATATACATTTATAGGACTTATCGCTTAAGTTGTGGGATGTTTGAGGGACAAGAAATAGTCATTGAGGTCTTATGTTTCTCTGGGACTTCAAGAGGAGATTGTCTGATGAATGGGGCGGGGTGTGTCAGCATTAACATTTTTATACTCATTCACATTGGTGTGCCCTTTACTCCGGATCATTGGATGTCTTCTAGAATGAATAGGGATCTTTTTACTTATTGTGTAGAAAAAATATATGCTACCCTCTTATCCTTTTATGTACAGGCTAACTTGGAGTGGGTTTTCCAAGGTGGTCATAGAATGTCTGTCCTCACAAGCTGTCATCTCATAACAATTGTATTGGCACCGGGTGCTGAGTTATGATAGAGTACCTGGGCTTTCTTTCTCTGTTGGTAAACCTTTTTGGCCCAAGTTATATTCAGTTTCTAAAACATTTAGTTCCGCATGGTAATTGTATCTGGATTTTATTTTAGTAAGGCTAACAGAGATTAATGCAGCATGGCCTGCAAGGTTTGCTATCCAGTGTGTTTCTAAGCACAGGGACCTGTAGGTTGAGTTATGATATGTCACTGACAGACCAGAACACAAGGGAAACCACTTTACTGGTATATAGGATACTGCAGTTTTGTTAAAGAGATAATGTTTTGCATTCTCATGTTTTTTTTTCTTCCTTCTTTCAATTTTGAATTGAAGCATGGGCCTGTGCAGTGTTGTGGGATTTCCTTTGCACAAAGGCTTATAATGCATGGAGGAAATTGTCCCATCTGGAACTTAGATTTTATTGAATTGTTTCTTTAATTATCAAAAGTAGAAAAGCAGTCAATGTTCTTTTTCTAACTGGAGTGCACTAACTGAGGTCTAGAGTGCAAGTCTGTAACCATCTACAATTTCATGTGTAACAGACCCCTAATGTGTATGAAATGCAATATTTGGTCATTTTCTTTTTTTGAATTTGATATGTCTTCAAAGGATCCAGAGTTTTTTCTTTCTTTAATTTTAACTATAACCATTTCTCAAAGTTGATCATTTTCAATGCCGTGGTGTTTTAAAGGAACAAATTATTGTTGCTAAATAAGACTTTGAAAGCTATTTCTTATCAATTTTTTATCAATTTACCTTATCACTTTCCCTATCACTTTCCTCTCCCTCAATGCCATCTTCATCTGATTCAATCTTTCACATAACTTGCTTTATTGTGATTTTAAAAAAATGCCTCCAAAATTTTCTGTGTATTTCTTGTCTCACTTCAGTTTAGTTAATATCTGATTTATAGAATCTTGCTAATATTTAAGTGTGCTTTAAGTGATTTTCATCTGCCCAGGAATTGAGCAGTGGCCTTTTCTCTAAGTGGCTACACAGCTGAAGCACAGTGTGGCCTTTTCCTCTCAGTCTCCACATGTGAAAGTGCATCGTCTCTTTAAGTGGTTGTAAACTGCCCAAAAAACATACTATGGCCTTTATACTTTTTAACCTCTACAGCTTATCATCTCCTTAACCTTTATGTCAAAATAGTTCTTTAGAAGTGGCACTTTTAGCCAAAATTTGCCTGGAGGGCTGTTTTTTTATCCCCCTGTCAGAAGTGGTGGATAGTTTAGCTCAGATGTAATACTCTTTAATGTGCAAAAGGCATTGTGCTCATTTGTGGCATGCAAGCACGCCTGTACGTCTGATCAAGATGGATTCTTGATGTATTACATTAATGAAACATTTTGCATTAACACTAGTGTTTTTAACAACCTCTTATCTTGAGTAGTGGTTTTCTTGTCATCAAATAAATGACAAGTATAAAATCGACCTTTTTAAACCGACTTTGCCAAAATGTTGGCTAAAAGCAATAGTGCCTCCTCCCTTTCCACTTAATTTGAAACCAAGTGACCACACCAGTTCTTTTTGTTATGTGGGTGCATACTGTTTATTTGACATCTTTTGCAGTTTGTCTCTATAAAAAAAGAAAAAGAAAAGAAAACAGTGGTGTAAGTGACAGTGCTACTTTCAGGTTCAGATGAGGTCACCATAGTGCATATTGTGTTTAGATATTTGTTAATCATTCATAACATGGACAGGGATTGGTGTGACTAAAGTTGAGATGGGCTATAGAAAGGCACTAAGGGCCCCTTTACACTGGACGGCGTCCTTTCTGCGTCCAGCAGTACGGCCCCATTTGAGAGTTAAAAAATTATAATATTTTACGTGCCGACAACTGGCTGATCATTGAGCATTCATTCTGATACAAAATTAATGCTCGTGCCTCCTTATTAAGACCACCGCGATGCCAAATTCCATGGTCGCAGAAAGGACGCCGTCCAGTGTAAAGGGGGTATAAGTCTTTCTACTTTCATAGTGCATAGTATGGAAAGAAGTAACATTTCCAAGTGTACATACTTGTATTGCTAATAAGTTTATTTGAATTCCAATAACTTGGGGGAATATGCCAGAGTCTCTCAGTTAAGTATTTCTGAAGGCTCCCTCTTGTTTTTGGGGCCTATCTCCAAAACAAACACTCCAGCCTTGTATTGGACCTGCCAGCCTTCATTAGTATTGGGGTGAGAACTTAAAAAACCTTTTCATGCATTTGTTTTTGCTGTCTGTCACTTTGTTATCACCAAGACTAGGACAAGAAATTTAAGTAATGGTTTTGAGTCTGCTTCTCAAGTCTCTTAGGTGATTTTCACAGAAGGAAACTTTGAAAAAAATGAATTTAGATGGATAAAAGACAGATTTGCGTGGTATTGATGACATTTTTGGGCTCACAAAGCCCTGATATCTTGTGGTGCCAAAGACTGGGCAATTTTATCTTTTTATTGACAGTAATAATTTAAGATAAACAAAAGAATGAAGATAACTTGCCAGGTTTAAGTGAAAAAGAAATAAGCAACTTCTATATCTGCCACCACAAGTGCCCCTCTATTATGTTATAGTTACAGTTGGATCTATTTTTGGTTTTCCTTCTTTTTGCAAGGCAAATGTGATTATGTTCTCTCTGCTGTACAGTTGGGGAAATGTAATTACTCATTTCCCTGTAAGATTTAAGTAATGCTTTAACAATGTGTGTGAATTTTTTTTTTCACTTGTATTTTAGGATCTGCATCTCATTTTCACATCATTGAGACGCTGGATTTTTCTTTCTCACCAAACAGACTTAATTCAATTTGAATTCCAAATAAAATAAGGTTGGAGTTGTAGGTCTTAGGTCAAGCCATATTTTTATTTTGAACTGACAAGTGCAACTTGCGCCTGTTTCACATTTATGTCCAGATGCATTGTAATGTTTTGATGTTACAGCCAAAGCCACATGGAGTTCCACTTAAAGCTACATACATTTTTTTTTTTTGTCTCTGGGACTGACTGATCCACCCTCCCTTAAAACATCTTGGCATGAGAGTTGGTGTATTTGTAGTCCGAGTCCTCTAAGGGTCACTTCATTGATGATCCTATCTCCCTATATCAACAACTGGCCCTGCTGCTACCAATTTCATCTTATTTGGCTTCACTGCTTATCCGTGCCATTGTGGGTTTCCATTTGGACACTGTTGCTACCTTGTGGGCTGCTCTCTAAAAAGATACACATTTCTGCCACCCAGGTTTAGCAAAGATTAGTTTTCTTTCCGATACTATCTAAATATGTTTCTGTTTTGCAAAAATATGTTCTTTACACTGATTCTAACTAGGGAGACCACACACTGAACATTGAAATGGTACCGAGCTTGATATTGTTTTTGATTAAAATGGTGATATATAATTAGAATCTAATAAAAGAATAAGTTTTAGATGCTTATCAGTTTACTATGAACTTTCAGAATTTAAAATCTCACTCCCAAAAGCTGGTTTAAACAAAATATTAAATTTTTTTCTGATAGAATTTTCAGAAATGCAGAATTGTGGAGGGCAGCCCTCTATTCCAAGGGTCCACTGTTCAGAAACTAAAAGAGCCTTGATCAGAAATTGACTGCTTTTCCGAAGGTCCACCTTTCAGAATGTTTGAGGGTTTGCTATTCCAAATGTCCTCCATCCGAAAAAAGTTGATTGATGCAATAGCTGCACATAAACAAGTTGTATTAGTTGTGTAATCAGGGCACTGACCTTGTGTTAAAGAAGTGCATTTAAATTGCTAACTTGGTGATGTTTAGGCTATATCTGTAACCTTAAGAATAGCAGACCCTCGGAACAGGGGACCCTCAGAATAAAGAGGCACATCCAACTTTAGGTATATTTTTGTTTGGTCCCTGATTCTAGATCTCGTCTTATATGTAAATATTCATTTTTTTTTTTTTGCCTTTGTCATTGTAGAGATGCCACGCACAGCTCCAAAAATTGTAGTCCAACCCAACCTGAAGTCTGTAGAGAAGGACCGGCCTGCCAGTATGCAGTGTGCAACAGAGGGGACTCCCCCACCTAGGATATACTGGCTAAAGGACTATATACCAGTGGATATCTCAGACCCTAGGATAACTGTCTCGGAATCTGGTAACATATTGCTATGTGGTGTTGTATATTCTGTAACCACCGACTGGAAGAAAAAAGTTTATTCATTCATCTGACTGCAGTGTGATTTAATCCATGTCTGCAGCAGTGTAGTTTTAGTTAGCCAGAGATGACTGCATTGAATAAAACATTTAAATGTGCAAATGATTGATTGCATTATGTCATACACTAATATGTTTAATAAGAAATTCCAAATGGTATTTTGCATTGATTCGCTTTCAAACCAATGTGCACATTTTATATCAAGTAGCATTATGAACAAAACCATTAGAACCTTGTGAATGTAGTGATAGATAACTGATTTCCTGAGGCTTTCTGACTGACAGTAATGGTCTGTGGTTGATATTGCAGGCACGCTCAATATTATGAACAGCCGAAAATCAGATCAAGGGAAATATGAATGTGTTGCAGAGAATGAAGCTGGAGTGGCCTATTCCTATGCTGCCAATCTATATGTGAGAGGTAAGCCCTGTGCTGAGAACCATTGTGCTTTGCTCTGTTGTTGTCCTCTCCTTTCAAACAAAACATCTTAAAAGCATCAACTTCCACTTTTGATAAAACAAATAAACATACCATTGTACTACTACAGGGGAATATAGGAAATAAATTCAAAAATACAGGAACATGAAAACTGAAAGAGCACTCCCAGATCAATGAATGGAACTTGAAGAAAAGAATAGACAGGTGCGACCGGCAGACTGTCTCTAGATAGCTCAAGTGATTGTCAGATAACTGAGTACTAGTTCGTCAATCATTTATGACTTGTGTATGCTTTGTAAGAATAACCTGTACTTGATCTAAGAACATTTATGCCTATTTGACTAGGTATTACAATTGAACTGAAAAATTCCAAATATATAAAAACTCTAATTTAATAAAGAAAAGACACAATTGAGAGAAACTGATATGACATATTTTCTTGCCCTGGTCTCAGATGTAGGTTAGCCAGAGTCATTCATTCTCTCTCTGCCTAAGGTGGCCTTTTTTTTAAGTGGTAAAATCATAAGACTTGACTATTGATTACTCCAAGTCTGTACCAACACAACACAAAGTGAGATGCAGTAATGGTTTGCAAATTTCTAACATCTCACTTATGCCAAATTTTAACACTTTCATTGTGTATCTTTTTAACACACAAAAAGAAAAAAACTGTAAGGCAAATGCAGTGCATTTTTGAGAGCTTTTCAATCATATTTTCCTGATATTGCTAACAAAACAGTTTCAGGAAAATCTAATCAGTTCTGTTTGAATTTAGTCATTAATTACCTTATATGTGTCAGGAATGCAGCCTTAGTAACATATGGCCTTCTGAAAGAGATCTGATTTGATTAGGTGTTAATATGATCAAATGTTTCTGAGTTGCAACGGAACTGTTATGTAGGACACCATTTCCTTTGGCAACAGTTTTGTTCTTGGGCTCAGGATTCACTTTAACCCCATTCACACGAGACACTTTCAATCGCGATTAGTGCCAAATCGCGATTCTATTGATGTAAAGCTTCTAGTGTGAACGCAGTAGAGACGCCAAATCGCGATTCAAATTAATCCTACTCGAGAGGTGGATTCTATCGATGTAAACTTAAATCGCGATATAAAATTTCCTAGTGAGAACGGGATCGATGTTAACAACGGAAGTTGAGGACTTAAGGCGCGTGCATAGTTTCTATCGAAAGTACAATACAATACAATACAATATAAATTTTATTTCATGTCGGGTATAAATTGAAACGAAACATTAGCTAAATACAGCTATTCGCCGACTGGAAAATGAAAGAAAACAAACTGTCCACGCAATTTCAAGTTTCTTCGCACTCAGCAAAATGGCCAAGAGGAAGTATGGTCTGAAAACTCAGTGGCAGCATAAACAAATATTTGGGCCGATGAGAATATTAAACAGAAAATAACACCGTACACACCGAAAGCATGGTCTTGAAGGCAGCTACTGGGCATGATCAACAGGATATACCGTGATTCCCCTAGCGAGCACAGTTGCAATTACAAAATCTAGCAAGGTAAATCGCGATTTCGTTTTTACATGTGTGAACGCAAAAAAGTGAATTTAGCTAAGCGCGTTAGAATCGCGATTCCCTTAATCTCGATTAACCATGTACGTGTGAATGGGGCTTTTGTTCACTCCTTGTGTACACAATACTGGGATTAGGCTATGACTCATACTCTGGACCTGCTTGACAAAATTTGGTAATAGCATTCAAGGAAAAACAATCGAGATGGCTTCCAAACTGTAGCTGTCAGTGCTTACTTGATAAAAATTTAAAGATTACTCTGGACAGATGAGAAAAGATTTTTCAAGATGAAGGAAACTGGCTTAATAAACATTAGTGAAGGGGTGAGAAATGAATTAATAAACTGTACTGTATTATTTGACTGATTTCTGCACAGTTCATGCTGATCCTACAGCTCCGTATAATCGGTCATTTCGTTAGGAAAAGAACATCAAGAACTGTTATGTGCTGTTAGTGCAAAGTAATAAAAGATGGGTCAATTATATCTCAACATCAGAATTGTTTTTTAGAATTCACCGATTGCCCTTTTTCCCCTGCAGTATGAAATTCTTAGAAACAGCAGATTTAGAGCACAGGACTGGCAAAAATGCAGTTATGCTCTCAGTAAGTCTTTCCAATTTTAGCTATTTCATACAGTGATTCCTTGTCTGGTTTGGGGGTGTTTCAGCCTGCAGGTTTGTTTGAATATGATGAATTTGATAGCATCTAAAGCCACATTGATTTTTGTCTACTGAAAAGAATGATCAATATGAATATGAACTGTTGCTTAAGGTTGATGAATTTACACCTTATTGTAAGTCTGATTAATGAAAGCTCTATAATTAGGTTGAGAAACAGACATTTATTGCCCCAAGAATAAATATTTGTATGTAAAGAAGGATTTTAGAATGACATAAAAAGCATGATGATTTGGTGCATCAATATTCGTGACTGAAAAATGCTGAAATTCATTTCTTATTTGATTGAAATCGTGATGACATAAAAGAAATTGTAATAGGAACACCTCACCTTAATTCCAATTAAAGGAAATTGAGTCCTCATTTAAATAATTGTAATTGCTTGAATTGTTTAGATCACTAAGTCAACATCCACTGATAGATAAAAAGCTATTGATTTTGGTCTTAGATGTGTTTGTATTCACTGGGGTATACTCCGGACGTCAAGACTGGAAGGGAAGGCGGCCATTATTTGGCACTGCTGCCTTATGAGAATTATCACAACAGTAAAGATGATCAATAATCCAAATATTTACCTGCTCTTTGGAGAACTCTAAGTTCACAGACATTGATGGACATAAAAAAGGAACCTGACTGCAGGATGTAGTTTCAAAAGATTTTTTTCTTTAGACAGATATTAGCCATCTTTTTGCAGCCAAATGAATTCTTTTTACTTGTAAATTTTTTGTGCATAAGTTGTGTCTTAAGGATAAATGTATGAAAAGGATTTAAAGCTGGAAATTGTATATTGACATACTATTTCACTCTTGTTACAGCATGATTTGATTGTTCAAGTCAACAGCTGCATATCCCTATGTAATAATAATGTCTCAGTTTTGTCTTGCTGTGTCTGTAGGGGAATAGGATTACATTATCCATATTTCTCCACAGTAGGTTGTTACATAATGGAAAGTCGCATTGCATTCCACTTGAATAATCTTGATAGATGACTAACTTTGCACATATATTACCATTTATTCTGCAGTGGGAGACTTCTGCTTGATTTATTGCAATATTTTTTCCACTTCATATTTTAAACATTACTCAAATGATTCGCTTCTGTTCACACAGCACATTGGTTAACTAAATGCCATTCCAGCCAGAACTTGTCTGGGGTAGCACCATAAATATCAATGATAATTTGATATATTACAACCATTGTGTTCATAACTACCATATTTTAGATTTTGTGTGCATCTACTGTAGACCTTGAGACATTTCAATTTTTTTTTTCAATTCATTTCTTAAAGAAAATTCAAAATGCAACTAATTCTAAGATAGAGTAAGCTAAATTTATGTAGATTAATGGGTCACTTCAGCTCTGCATAGGGTCCCTTATCTTTGGCTTTGTGGTAATTCATATGCATCTTTTTTCCTATCCAGACTTCTTTATACTGTTGTGTGAAAAAGCATTGTTATCATCCTTTTTCTGGCCTAGATTGAAAACGAGTAGGGCCCCTGCATGAAATGGCATTTGCTGGGGTTCCCCACCAAGGACAGACTGATAAGAGGGGTATCAAAGAGGGCTACATTGTCTTATCCAAACACTGAGCTAAAATCTGAAGGGATTGCTCACTGGGGAATTGATAAAGAAACTTGGACCAGCTCTTGCTTCCATGTTTGTGGCTGCTGATCAATAAACAGTTTGTGTTGAATGAAGCAGGACACGAATATCACTGATATGCCTTTGAAGATTAAAGTCAATAGGTTAATGTCTCGTACCAGCAGCCATATAGTGGAAGAATTACACGAAACCAGACCAAGAAAAGAAGCCAGTGGAATTTCTTTTTTCCCCCTAACTTGTGCAATTAAATTGTTACTTTTGATCATTGTTCACTGCGGAGTGCGTACACTCCTCGAGTGGCCATCCTGCAGTGCAGCAATCTTTCAGTTGTGATACAGCTAGACTCCAGGGTTCAACTCTGACATTTTGGTTTTCATTTAGATCTGAAGCACCATAGCTGAGCATCTTATCATGTGAGATTACTCTGATTCATTCTCATGCAAGAGGATCTCTAGAGCAAAGTCTTCACAGCCAGTGCTTTGAAAAATACACTGAAGTTGGTTACTTAAAGGTTAGGCTAGATTACATGTGACCCATATCCCTTTTATAGCTTGTCACCTAAGTGCATTATCAAATTGTTGCATTAGAAACTGATGGTATCGTGGGGTCTCTGTCAGAATTAAATAATCTATGAACCTTATTCTTAGGTCAGTTTCTCCTTGTATGCACCACTGGCTTCTTTCAAAAACTAAAGTAATGTATCCTTTAATGAGCAAAATTCATAAAACATTCAAATGGTTAACCTACAAAATGTGGACTCAAGGAACTTGGTAAATATTGAAGCAGCAGTGAAGCAGGAAAATTTGTAGTTGGCAAGCAAGAACACACTTTAGGGTAGAGATAATGCAAACTTGCTGCTATCTTTCTTAGTAAGACACTTGTAAAGGTCAGGAGTCTGTAAGCTTCCAAGGAATTTTGAAATATTTGATTCAAGGTGTTTCCTTTTAGGCTGCTCTGTATTGTGAATTATGTCCAGGTTTACCCGTACTGAATAACCTAATTGAATGAATTGAATGCTGCAACAGTTAATTTAAGTAAAGTTCAGTAAAAAAAAATGTGAAATTACTACAAGGAAATGAAAAAAGAATCCAATTTCACTTAAAAGACACTTACACGCTGCCTGTGAAGCATTATGATGTGAATAAAGAGTTTGATTGATTTTTTTCTTTTGTGGGAAAGCTTTTTTGCCTTCTAAGAATGAAAAACCCTTCTTTAAGATGTATTTTACACTTAAAATGATCAATAAGTTTTTTTTTTGCAAGGCACATTGATTGTAGCTTTAGGGGGAGAATAGATGTTTTGAATCTGGTCTAATTGCAGGCTGAACATCTGAGAAAATTCCATGACCTCTTCTACTTAAGATTCGACTCAAACCACTAGAATGGGGAGTTTTCCCAATCCCTCTGCTCATTATGTTACTGTGTTAATTGCTTAATGGAAACGGCCATTCAATTTACAGACATAGTCATGCTAATATTTCTACAAATATTGGCACTGCCCCAATATTTAGCTCAAACTGCAGAGCGGGTGGTTTTTCTAGGTTCTGCAGCATTAAACGTGAGCAATATATTGAAAAATAACAGCAATGGTAGCTTTTGCAGCATGGAACAGCCTGCTCATGGTTCTGTGAACGTGAGAGGAAAAAAGACAGTTGCATCTTGTCTAACTTTATAGAAGGAATAAATAGCTTTGGCAAACATGCTGCTTATTGCTAATAATAGGTTATTCTATGTTGTGTAAGGGAGCTTTTGTAGAGCTCTCTGTCTGCCAGTTAACCTGTCTGCAAGAGATGTTGACATACAACAGGGAATTGAGCTGGTCATAGAATCAATAATATTGGAATAGCAGCAACCCATCTGTCAGGAACTTGCCTGGTGATGGGGAAGCAAACAGTGTGCAGGAATTTTCTGCTTGATGCTGTCTATTAACTGGATGTCAAAGAAGTTGTTTTATTAAAGAAAAAAATTTAAAATATGAATTTCACAGTAGGTGGGTTGAAATAATCCCATGTTTTTATATATTTTTTCATATAGTATATATGTAACAAAAAAAAAAAAAAAAAATTGAGACCCTCCCCTCCCTCCCCAAAAACCTATACCCTTAAGCACACATACGTACATGCATATACATTCTAGAATCCCTTAGTGTTATGCTATCCATGCTTAATATTTTCTTGTTTGATTAAGATTTTTTAAAACCCAGTTGAATTTTATTTATGTAATATTTTGTCTTTCTTGACTTTATGTTCACATTTAGCCAGAAAATCCCATTTCAAGAAAATTAAATACAGGAAGCAACAAATCTTAAAGCATTCTACTGTTTCACCAAAGAGACATTTGATCCTGATCTGAATACAAGTTACTCAGTATGCTGACCCCAGCAAATGGGGCCATATTTTTAGTTCAAAAAAGTGTAAGACACCGGAATGAACAAATGTCTTTTCAATGCATATGATTTGATCATTCCAAGTCATTGATGTTGCAGCAAATAAGTGGCACTTCAGTTAATCAAGATATTGAAATAGAACCAGACTCCAGGTTCAGATGTGTGCTTTAAGATTAGCATAGAGGGATTACTGGTGCTACGGCCCATTGTACACAACTGCCTGTTGAGATTAACCATGTATGCCCAATATGAGCCCTTGGTGGTTTTGGAATCAGTAGAAATCATTCAACTGGCAATTTGTCTGTACTTAATGCAAAAGTTCCTGAGGGGAAGCAAGCTGGGCATAAACAAAATGATTTCAACACAATTTTATGTACTTTGCACTGCCTTTGAACAAACAAATAAGGAAAAAATTACAACGCTAACTAATTGTAGCATTGCAATGATTTAATGGTGATAGATAATTTATCTGCAACTGTTAATCAATAACAAATTTTATGTATTATGCAAGAACCAGCAGTGGCAATAGTTGACTACAGAGAGGCAAAAATTACTATTATACCTTCAGTTCAGTGTAAACCAGTAGCAGACGCCATAATGTCCAATTTTGTAAAACAAATACCTACCCACATATTCCATGTTAATTTATGACCTGGGAGCGTACAATGTAGGATATGGAAAGGGTTGTAATCAATGTAGGAAAATGAAATAGAAATGGTTAATGAGACCCGTCATGCAATTCTTGGGGGAGGTAATAAGGGATGTCAGTTGATTATGGTTGCTATGATGTAAATTGCCAAACATCTGGTTTTAGTTTTGTTACATGGAACAGTTCTTAAACTATGCCTTTGAATTGTTGCCCCCTCCACCATTTAGGAATTGCATATCCAATTATAGGTATAGATATTTTGACTTGATGTGACAGGGTTATGTTTCAATAAGAATAGATTAGTTTCTTTAATCATGAACAGTACAAAGTCAATTGGATTGTGACTGTTGAGATTAACCTTCTCTACCACAATTAAATGGACCTGCTCTAGCACAACCATAAAAAATCCTCACAATTAGATTCTAAATATGTAGTATATGTTAATGCATACTTGGTACATAGTCTTCATTATTTTATAATAATTGATGATTTTTCCCTTTTGATAATAATATCAGTAAATGGCAAACTGTATTTAATCTTGAATTTTTCTATTTCAGTACGTAATGTGGCTCCTCGTTTCTCCATCCAGCCCCCAGAAATGTTGGATGTGATGCCAGGAGGGGACATCAACATCACCTGTGTTGCTGTGGGTTCTCCAATGCCTGTCGTCAGGTGGAAGTTAGGTGTCACAGATCTAGCCCCAGTGGCTGATGCCCCCTTGGGAAAGAATGTTCTCATCCTGAAGGACGTTCAACAATCTGCAAATTATACTTGCTTTGCAGCTTCTGATTTGGGCAATATCGAAGCTATTACTCAGGTCAAGGTCAAAGGTTGGTGGACCAGTTTATTTATCATGTTGACAGTCAATTGAAATTCTGTCTGTTAGAATTTATTGATATGATAAATTAGGTGTCTGTCTAGTAGATCTAGCCCTGCTTCATGCATGCACTTAGATAGGTAGATGGAGGCAAAGTTTTATGAATTTTCATAGATGTGCTTAAAGTGTATGCAAGTGGGAAAGAAAAAAAATGCGTTTAAGACATTATAATGTGATTTTTAAATTAGCAGTGGTGTAATCAAAATGTTTGTGACTGTTTTTAGCATGGTGTATAGAAGTGTCTTATGTGTATTAGACATCAGCGTGTGCTGCATGCAACTTCCCCCAATTTAAAAAAACTACTGTCAGTCTGCTTCAAGAAAAATGGCTCTACTTGAAGATCTTGCTTTACTGTCAAAACAATGTGTTGTGGGTTGTCTAAGAATAATATTGAGAGTAACTATAAATGCTTAATCCTCTCTGTTTAATGCAGTCCACTGCATGTTTTCACTGCTCACTTCCTTTTGGATTATATCTGTTCAGAAATGAATTTAATACTGATAATAATTTTAATTGACATAATTTTTAATCTGCAAGCTTAATATGCTGATCATATTTTCTGTAACATTGGACAAAAATATTCATAAGTATAACTTAATATCTTCCCAACAAAATAACAGTTAAATTGCATCTTAGTATAACATTATCATTGTCCTTTGTACAAGATTCACTAGATACCAGCCCATAATTAAATCTGTCATTCATTTGACGTCAATATTTTATGTACTGAGAAGCTATCTAGAAGCCATGATAAGTTCAAAGCAGAGACTGAAGAAACAATATTTACTCATTCTTTTTCTGCAGAACTTCACAAATATTTTTCATCTTCATGTTATTTTTGCATTGAAAAAAACTATTCCCTAGGTCTTTGCAATGGGGACCCATGCTTAACAAGGAATCCAGGTGACCATTAATATCACAGCACCATAAAATTTTTTATTATGCACAGCAGCACTGTTTTTGTCCTCCTGTACCTGTCACAATCCTTTTATTTTAGTCCAGTGTATGAGACAAAAATACACTGAAAAGTAACATCTTTAAATGTAGGGTGATAAGCTTGATACTTGTGGGGGGGAAAAAATGGGAATATTAGTTTATGTGTACAATATATTTTTATGTATAGGTGTACATTTTCAAATTGGATACAAACTCTTTATATTTGCTGTAAATTTTTATGGGTTTTGTGGAGGACTAAAACAAATGAACATCACATTAAGTACACCCTTTTTTGCCTTTCAGCGCTTCCCAATCCTCCTGTTCACCTCGAGATATCCGAGGTCACAGCCACATCTGTTAAACTTAGTTGGGATGAAGGAAACAATGATCCCATAGACAGTTATATTATCAACTATAAGCCCAAGTATAAGCAAGGTGTGGAAAGCAAATCAATATCAGGCATTGTAGAAACTGAACACACTATTACTGGCCTGGTCTCTTATACCATCTATGAGTTCAGAGTAGTAGCAGTCAACAATATTGGGCGAGGGAGACCCAGTGAGCCAAAAGAGTGTACAACTGGGGAACAACGTATGTAGGATAGTTCTTATTTATTATAACCAATATTTTACCTATCTCTATCTCTCTTTCTTTCTTTTTTTACTGTGTGCTGTTTATATCAGGAGTGAAACTTTCCCTTTCTGTTTTGTATAATGTTTCAAAAAGATTAGTTGATCTCTGAGTTCGAGAATGTGATTTTTAATAATCCTAACTAAAATAATGAATACTAGACAGAGCTCTCCTTTCACTTTGGCATGAGTAATGTAATTTTTATTAATATTTACACAAGCATTTATTTTTCATCATAATTAATTTTCAAAGAATGGCTGTATGGCAGTGGATTTTAACATTGTAGCCAGGTCGTAAGCTTAGGTTCAGTTACACCAAGCTTCAGCCAGATGCTCTAGCACATGGCTGTGGTCAACCTGCTCTGCTGGCATGTCTGCTTGTTTTCCATGTTTTGGTTAGAAATGAACAAAATTTAGTTTTTATCTTAATATTGTATGACGTTTGCCTCGTGGTTTGAAATTTGGCTTGGTGTGTTTAAACATTAGTAAATGTTGATGTGAACATTTCTTTTCTCTGTATTTGATCTCAGAGCCCAGTACACCTCCACGCAATGTCCGAGCCCGTCCATTGAGCACTAGCACACTATATGTCCAGTGGGATGAGCCAGAAATACCTAATGGACTCATCTTGGTAAGTTCACTTCAACCGACAATGTAAAAGTATTGTTGTTCAGAAATTGAACAGTAAGTTCATCTTTCTCCCTATAGGTGGCAGGCAAGTGAGCTACACATTGTGGTTGTTGTGCAGTAAATGTGTTTTTGCCAAATGGATGCAATCTATATAGTGCAGTGCTTTGAACAGTGTTAAAGTTGATTTGATTGCTGTTCATCATCTTTATCATCATCTTGCATTACATTAAAAAATGAAATGTATAAAAATACTGATTCACTGAAAGAGTGTTAACACATTTTGTTGCCTGTTTGTCTAAAAGAAATATCATAAAGAAATGTTTTCCCTCAAGATCACTGAAAATGTATCAACTACTCACTTCCAGGGATACCAGGTGTACTACACCCTGAAAGAGGAAGGCGAGAACTTGGCCGAAAGACCTTATTACACATGGCAAAACATGGCAGTTACTGATAAGGTAGCCAATATTCGTAACCTGTCTCCAAACAGGACATATGTTGTCTGTGTCCTGGGAAGAACCAGTGTTGGCGATGGACCTCCGTCAGAGTATGTTGAAGTCCTAACAAGACAAGGAGGTGAGTTGAGTGTATATTGACACTAAATAAACTTTTCAACATGTTAGGATTTATAAATACATATGCATGTATGTACTATTTTACATATACATGTTTGAAAACATTAAGCATCACTTGCACTTCTTGCACCTGTAATTAGCCAACTCATTTTCTAGTGTTGCATACAACCTTTTTATTACATTGACACTGTCTGACAGCTAGAACACTGAATGTGGTATCTGTATAACAAAGTCACCACTTATGTGCTATGCATGCTGGGAAGGACAACTGTTGGATGTTGTATTCATGAATTAATCAATACTCAAAACTCCATATAGGATGTATTCTATCATTCCTTCCTGACAAACCTAGAAAAACATTTTCCGCAATCAGGACTATTTTGCATGCAAAGTGATAATATTGTGCTGGTCCATAGGAATAGTGTGTGACCTGTCTTAGGTGTACTCATTGTGGCATAGGGACATACAGGAAGCATGATATATTGTGTGTAGTGTAAAGCTGCATGGGTCCAGCTTCTAGTAGAAGTATTGTGTGTATTCAATCAACAGAAATATGTCTTGTAGGTTAACTAGGCATGTATGCCTCCATGTCTACTAATAATTAAGATTAAGATTAAGATCACATCATCGTATCGATCTATTCTTATTGCTGTTCTGTGTGAACTCTCCCGTGAAAATTTTAACACCAAGGTGCATCTGTCAATAAAGCAAATGGTGAAATAAAGTATTCTAGTAGACAAAAGAAAATGTTAACAGAAAAAGATATTGATTATTTCAAATTATTATGTAGGAAGTCATAATACATTAAGAAATTTAATGCATTTTTTTTTTCTACAAAAAATGCAAAAAGGTTTCATACACATGTAGCTGAACTTTTTTCTTGAAAAATGGTAACTAAGTCTTAGACATACATTACTTCAGTGAACAGGTTTCCCAATCCTCGTAAGTAGATGGTAAAGTACATGGAGCTTTTAACACTGCTTAGTAGATGGAACACACAAAGCCATTTGGATATCTGATTTTTTTTCTCAACAAATTTGGATGGGAGGGGGTTCAACCAACAGGGTCACTAAGTAAATGTGCTGTTTGGTTGTTATACGGTATCCATGGCAACAGAGGTTTGTGTGTATTGATCTACTCTCTGATTATATTGTTCAGTGGTCTGCTGATATATGAATGCAATGAATTCTGGAAATGATGGAATGGATATTGACTTTTTACTTCTCCTTTCTTACACAGAGGCATGTGTATTAATAAGACTTAGTACTCATGAGCTTATTATGCTCCTAATTTTACCCCCCCCCCCCCTCATTTTTTAAACATATATGACCTTAGTTTGGGGAATGACAAGGACCACATAGATTCTCTATATCTGTAACATAGCATATCTGTCTATAATATTTATGTGTGATTTTCACTCCCATATTTGTTAATTAGTCAACATACCATTCCAGAAATCCATTGCATTTATGTTGTAGACAGTCTTAAGTCTTCAATAAATCTTTTATTGTGTACAAAATTTCTTCAGAACAATTTGACACATCTCGGGTGTTGCATGGCTGTATCTCAATTGTATTTCTCAATTGGAGAAATACAGACTGTACAACTAAGCTAGTAGGCCATTCCATGCACTGGCCAAGATGACTAAATGCTATTTCCATATACTGAATATTCACTTGTGGTTTAGTTTCTTTGCATACAGCTCATATGATTTTATTCACGGTTTTTCACTTGCTCTTATATTGTAAAATCATGTTATCTTTTCATATGTAAGTATGTTTCAAGCTGATTTTAACATGAAACTTTTTGCATGTTTTGGGCTAATTTGATGAAAGAAAATGATGTTTCTTTATTCACTTTTGTTATTTTTTGTAAATATCAAGTTGAAACAAGGACTGTTTGCATGCAAATATGCTGCCTCTATTAATTGTTTTATAATCCAAACAGATTTATTCTTACTTTAAAGCATTTTCATTTTCACCCAGAAAAATTTACTCGATTGGGTGAAAAGATTATGTAAAATGTTTTCTTTGTCACCGGTGGGTATTTTTATATGTTATTTGTTTCAGAAATGTTGTTTTGATGTAAAACATGAGACCCTATTTCAATAACTTCACAATTTTTTTTCTTCTACATCTATTATCTCCAACTAGAGCATAAGATGATACTACTGATGTAATACACCAGAAGCGTGTATGGTTTGTAGGAATGTTGTGTTCATATATTGGACAGTTGGACCTCTCGTGAAATTGAAACTGCAGGTATAGATCATCATCCACCTGTACCTGTATTTAGAAATAATCAGCCAGTAGATCTGCATGGTCCGAGATGTAATTACAAAAAGGTGTGAAAACTGTCCGGGAATTGCCTGGACTGCATGCATGGCTTGAAATAATAAATGATGATTGATTAATGAGATGAAACTAAAATCCTTCAGGTAAATCCTTCAGTAAGAAGAAATAAATAACCCCACCTGTATTTGTTTTAGGGTCAATGTGTGGTTGTTAGGTGTTTAATTGAAGTTAGACAGTAATGACAGTGTTAGTGACTTATTTTCCCTTGCAATGATGAGCTGTTGAACATTTTATCCACCAGAGTATTTGTCATGGAAATGTGCTGCAATGGCTGACATATGCGATATATATGTAGTCTTAAAAAGATGTAAAGCTGGAAACCAGAAGCAGTTGTCTGTGTTCACAGTTATTTTTGTCTTATTATTAAATCATGTCAGTACACTGCATGGTTTGTGAAGGATGCTGTTTTTAGAATGTTTTCTAGCATTCTGGCAAGAAAGAAGTATGCCTGTACAATTCCTGCCAAGAAATAACCTTGTTTAAACATAATTACTTCAAGCAAGATATAGGGTTTGTTTTTTCTAGCTTCAGGTATTTAGGGTAACTTTTCACACTATGTGTGTGAAAGGGTTAGGGTTAGTACAATTTTTTATTGTATTAAATAAATAAAAACTATATGAATTTACCAGCTGAATATCAGATTTAAAAATCTATGTAAAAATCATTTAAGGAAGAAAATGGACATTTCTTACAGTCCAATATAGTCATTCTGGAGTAGAAAATACTCAAAGAAAGTTCATTAAAAAGTTGAAGACATTTAGACAGTTTTGTCAGAATGAGATAATGGTGCTAAGATTTCTGTCAGTAGCCTTTTGTCAGACTGCATTCAGCAACTGCTTTATGTGACTGACCTGCCTTAACCAGAACAACCTTTTGAACAACTCTAGTGCCCTTGTCAAAAGGGTTCATGTAGTTCTAATTATCCCTGTGAGGAAACTGATACCAAGTGCTGCCGTTAAAACAAATGATTGCCAATTATATTAAACAAAATGAGAAAAAGAGGTGAAATTAATCTGGGTTAGGGTATTAACAGTTTCTGGCAATTTGTTGGAAAAAAATTATATAGGGAGTAGAATAATGAATAAGTTTACACAGCAAATATAGCTTATTGACTTGAATGTCATTTAATTAACAGAGCTGTTAACTTGGAGAATAAATGGATAATTGAGAATGAAAGCGAAGTGGGAAAAATGTCAACCCTTGGTGAGTCCACATCGATCCAAGAGACTCAGTGGGCATAATTTTGCATTCACTATGGTCGGCCTGTCAGTGCCATCTGAATTATTACTTCATAAACCTTCAACTTTATTGACATGTCAGGAAAAACGAGAAAAGTTAAGTTGTCAGTTAGCAAAAGTCAATGACGCTCAGGAAGATTTTCCTCATAATATCTTAATTATCTGCTGCGACCTCTTGGATATCATGGGTCCTCTGCGGCATTGCCGATATGGCCCTGTGGACTTGGCTATATTTTAAACTCTGTTATGTGAGGCCATGTTATGTGCTTCCTCTGCTCTATACATATTTGAGGCATTTTACTAGCTCTACACAAGCACAGGTCGTACTGTTTTTGCAGTTTCTTGGGACCAGTGATGTATACATTTTTGAAAAACATTAATATACTGATTGCTGATCCTTGCCTTGTTTTTGTGGAGCTTTTGCGATGTTTACATAAACTTTTTTCTGTGGTCAAATCAGAAATGTCATTTGGGATTTTTAGTTGATGGAAAATGCAATAGATGTTTTGACATCTGCACTAATATTTCTTAATAGCATTTTGATTTGTATTTCTCAAGTAAGTAGCTTTTCTAAAGACGAAACGAAGAATTTTGAATTGTCACTTTTGATTTTCAATGTTTTTTTTTTTTTTTTTTGTCATTAATTAGAAAAAAGGTTTGGAAAAAGCATCTCAAATGAACCAAGGTCTTTTAAACTGTCCTAAAATGTCTTTAGAAACCTGATCACAATCAAAAGATAAAACCTAAATATACCCTGAAACTTTAAGTAAATGTAAAGAAAACCTATGGTATCATATTGAATCTAACTCATCTCCTCCAACAGTCATCTAAATTAAATCAGGAAATCGGATCAATATTTCTAGATAATCACATTGTTTGTTTCACCTATGCTACATTTTGCTGCATTTCTGCCAGGACTAATGTTCGTCTGACATTTTGTCTGGCTAAACAGACTTGTATTTTATGATAGGAAATAGAGGCTCCAGTGCCAGTTAAACTGGAATAACTGGATGTAGACAGTTCTCTTTATTGAATGCTTGAATTAATTGACGAGGCTCGGAATCAATTGAGTTTACATTGATCCAATTGCATGTTATAGTTTGTGGATAGTAAGAATATGAAGTGTCCACATCTCATTCCATCATATTCCCCCCCTCTTACACATATATCTCTTGTATGTATGAATATGACATCACAGCATCTCACCACCAGTCTAGAATATAAAAAGGATGACCAGATCAAGATCTCTGCAATCAAAAGGCATCTCTTTCACTATTGAAGGGAGTCCCTAAGCCACAAGTTGTTGTTGAAACTCAATCCCCTTCTCATAAACACCTAGGGAGCTGCAGTTTGCCTGTATTGTGCTGAAGCAATGGAGGATATGGAGCTAAACCATTATTCCTGCACTAAGGTGTTTAGATAGGAGGGACTATTATGTCCTGTACCTTGGGGTTTAGTTGAGTGAAAATATTGTACAACATTGGAATCCTGGCATAATCAACTGCATAGAGCGGCTTCTTGAATGAGGTTCACTGATTACCCAGAACCTGGATTTTCTTAATCCCAATAAAAGCGCTCTTAGCTTAAGGGTTCTTATATGCTGGAGGGAAAATAATTAGCATAGAGCTTAGGATATGCCACTCAGGCCAACTGACATGGGATGGGGGTTGTCCTGATTCTAAACAGATGTCTTAGTAGTAACTAGAACTGCTGGTGGTGCAACCTGCAGGGAACAATCTAAGCCGCGTGCTGTGGGCAGCCATTAGCATAAGGATATGCTGTCTCTCCTGAGCCATGAAAGCCAGCTTAGTAATATGCTGATGAGGAGGTCGCTGTTGTCAGTGTCAGAACAGCTGCATTGAAGTGTGTAGAACAGTTTTCTATAGATCAGAGGTGAAGAGAAGTGTTAGGTTGGAGTCAGAGGACAGTAACAAAAACAGTGGTCATTTCTGTACTACACAGTCACTTACTCTTACTGGGCAGTCTTTTGTAGGAATGCAAACTACTGTGACCTACTAGGTATATACTACCTATACAGACAGGGCTAGTGAATCACTACCTGTAACTGGAGAGAGATAACTGGGATACCAGCAAACATGTTAAATGGGAAGACTATATTGTAGTTTTACTCGGTGATTTATAAAGTAGGGAAAAATTAAGTTGATGAAAAAGCCGTAGGAGATATTGAAAGGTTGAATGGAATGGATTTTTCTCCTGAAAGGCCAAAGGTTATAACAGATTGTTCCATGTGAAAGGACTGGCAGAGTGACCTGTTGTACTAGAAGGGTGTTAGTGTGACTACACGCTAATTCATCAGCTTGCCAAATCTTTGAAGAAGGTAGAAAAGAGTAAGGATGGGGAGACTTCTCCGTCCTGTATTAATTGAGATTTTATACTTTTTGCTATTGGCACACACAGATGTTAACAGTCAAGGAGACGGGAAAGGTGAGCTTTGCTAAGTATCCTATAAAAAAAAGAGACATTCAGTTTTTAATTGACATTCATGGGTTTTCTCTCTGGGTGTGAGTTTTGATAGCTATCATGTGATTACAAACTTTTTTGTTTAGTTCAAGTTTGCATGTCTGTTTGTAAGTTGTTTTGATTGCAGTTGCACCTTAGAGCTTTGGAAGTGTCTTGATTGTTATTCAACAATTATTTGAAGAGATTTCTATCTCTTTTCATTCTACATCTTTCTCCTAAGAAACTTTTCTGCTTCTGTTCAGTGCCATTATTGAAGACTTGTATATTTGACGCAGGTCTTTCATTCTTCTATCTCCTATCCTCCTTTGACCATCCCCTCAGAAGAAGCACACTCCTTTTCGGAGCTGTTGCCTCGTATGTCGGATGTTTTGTGTGATCAATGGTAGTGTCACATTTGAATGGACATTTGAGTGCATTAGAGGAGGGACGCTTTGTTTGCAAAATTGGGTCAGAGCCTTGTATTGTGTGGTGTGTGAAGAAATGTTATAGAGTATGCTCATGCAGCACCGTCTAATTTTGTAATCCTGTAATGTTAGCACAATTCACTTTGCCAGCATGTTAACTTGTATTGTCATTGGGGAGGATAGGTAAGGCAAAGTTTGGAGTGGAAATATATGGAGACTGCTGTGTGCTGTGAAGCAGAAATGTTTATAGTCATTGCTTTTACCTTGAAAAACAACCTTTTTTTGCTGAAGTTGAATGGTGGTCATGACTGATTCTTTGGTTGTAGAAACCCTGATGTCATACATCATTGTATACTAATACATATTTACATATATTTGAAACACAAAAGCATACTCTTTACTTGTCATTTTTCAAAATGATGTACTTTGTGATTATTTTGTCATTTATTTAAATTATGTTACCTTTTGAAAAAGATTGAATTGGTGGCTGATGTGTTTGCATAAAAAATAGAAATATCCAGACTGACTCATTTTTAAGGTTGATAATTTGATAGCTTCATCATAAAGGAAATTATATATCATTACTCTTCTCATTGCCCATAATCATCTAATCTGGCTCATCAGATTGTTATCTGGGATCAAAATTATGCAAATATCAACTGATCAAATATAATGACAACATTATAACTCATATTATATTGAAATCATTTTTTCCACAAGATTTAGATACTTCTTAACACTTAAATAATTTTTAAAAAGTTTTATTGCACTTGAATTTTTTGTTCTGTCAATTTTTTAATTCTTGGAATTTATTTGAATTATTTTTCTTATATCACAGTGCCAGAGCAACCTAGGAATTTACAGACGGAGGTACGAGGCCCAGACCAGATTTACGTTACCTGGGAAAAACCGGAGAATTCTGACGACATTATCACAAGTTATGAGTTATATTACCAATCTCCATCAAGGGGGAAGGTCCGTGTGACCATTCAGCCCCCAGTGGAGAGTTACCTGTTGGAGGATCTAATCCCAGCCACGGTATACAACATCCATGTCCTTGCTAAATCAGAGAGGGGGACAGGACCTGAGAGCCCTGTAGTCCAAGCAACGACGCAGGAGTTCAGTGAGTACTGCCTTTTATTTGCTATTAGAAATACAGACAGGATTACAGTTCCTAGGATTATGATTGTCAGTATTTCATTATAGTTACTTAGGCTTCGTTCACATGCAATGTCTATTTTCTAAATTCTATTTTCTATTCGCGTTATCTTATGATCATGGTCTGTGCCCTTAACATCCCGCGGCGTAATTACTGGCAGCGCGAGCCAGTTACTTATAGTAACTTATAGTAACTGGCTCGCACTGCCAGTAATTACGCCGCGGGATGTTAAGGGCACAGACCGTGATCATAAGACATACCGCGAATAGAAAATAGAATTTAGAAAATAGACATTGCATGTGAATGAAGCCTAAGTAGTTGGTTGCTATATCATGTGGAAACAAAAGGAAATGGGACTATTTCAGCTGTATTGAGTATTTAATTTTAAATTATAATCTGTCAGAATTCCCTATTTCATGTATGATAAAAAATACATTATGTGGTTTAAAAGAATTCATAGGAGCACTGCATTTTTGACTATGACTTTTTTTATTTAACCTCATGGGAATGTTCAGAAAAATGTTAAGTCCAAAATTGTGCCAGAGATAAAGAATACCTTACAGCAGTATCAAGTGAAAACTCTCTTGAATTTTACTGAAATTATTATAAACATATCAGCATTTGAAGTTTGGTACATTTTTTAAAATCCACTCGCTACATATCACCGATATCGTAACCATCTTTCCGCTGCACTGTTATTGCCTCCGTGGCATCTGATAACTGTTCTAAAGTTAGTAGACAAACATGGAACAGTATCCAGCATGCTCTGTAGACAAGAATCTACTGTTTAAAGCCACTGTACAGGTGGTGGGCAGATGAGAAGCAAGCTTAAGACAGACAGGTTTACACAAGCTGGGACTCTGCTTAATATGTCCTGGTATGAAAGAATAAACTAAAAGCTTACCAGGATGCTGCAGTATGGTGTAATATTAACTTAACATTAAGCTGTGGAAAAAAAAACCACATGGAGCAACACCCTTGGTGTGTTTATTTTCCTTGAGGATTTATAGAGGATTAACCTCTTGTTTATAATGCTGACCTGGTGGCATGCTTTGTCTCCAAATATCACTTCCCTCATTTGTATACACACAAAAAAAGAAAGTAATCTAAGTAATCTGATCTTATCATCCAGGTCTTTGCATTAATTGATTCCAAATAGTTTTAACAGCTGTCATATGGTTTAATGCCAATGATAAGATTAAGAGAACCCTAAATCCTGAGTGATTGATTTCTTGCCACCCCACCCCCTCTACCAATACTGCCCTGATCCTAGAAAAAAAGAAATTTAAGTGTGTATTTTTAGTTGCCTTATCATTTTGCTATTTTTATTAGAAGCTTAATATGATGTGATATTGTTCCACAGTGGCAAAGAATGAACAAACAAGATGTCTAGATGTGACGTCCTGTTTTTTTTTTACTCAATATTTGATCATTTTCTTTTTTTTTTTTTTTTTCATTGCTGGGCTCACACTTCATAGTTAATCTTTACTTGATAAGAATGTTGAAAGCTTGAGTGTAAAGATAAAACAATTGGGAAATGTGAGTCCTGCCCTTGTAGTGTTGTATCAATTTTGAAATTCATGCAGAAGTAAGAGCTGGCACCATAGAATTAAATATTTCATTGAATGCAACAATGGTTTTACTACCAGCAAAGTCTCATTTCGGAAATTTTGACTTTTATGATCATCATTGATAATTGAAAATATCATTTGAATGAGTGTATTAAAACAAAATAGAAAATAAAAATATTTCCAAATATCAATTATGTTGCAGTTTTGCAAATTTATCAGTTGGCATTTTTGCATGAATTGACTGTTTACTGTATCTGTTGTTGTTGTTATGTCCAGTACTGGACTCACTAGCATAAATTTGTTTTATGTAGATCATTTGAATGTTTTTCAAATAAAATATCAATAAAAAGGTGATTCAGGGGGAGGGATTCAATAATTCAAGTTTGTTTCAGAGGAAATATTTTGAACATTTGGCTTAAATATAATATGCTAGTGTAAGTCTAGAAATGCCTCTACAGGGAGGTTGCAATGGAGGAGATGTGAAGTTTTTTTTTTTTTTTTTTTAAATTGTCGTTATATTACCAAATATCATTGGATGAATTTTGGCAATAATAATTCACATTGAAATCTTCCCTGTGTTGGTATAAAATGTTTGAATGTTGTGATTGTCCCTTAATAGATAGCATAGTATAATGATTACAATATCATTATATTGATTTTACTGTCATGCCATACAATAGATTAAGCAAGGTAAAATATTACAAAAGAAAAACTAGTGCATGGCTGTTCCTATAAATTGAATTTGACTGAATGTAAAAGAAAAGCAAAACAACCAAATGATTTAGATTAAATGGAAATTGGAATGAAATCCTTGCGCTAGTCTTCATTTTGTCTTATCCAACATGAAGACCTGGAGTCTGTTCTCGGCCCTATGTTTAGACTGCCAGATAGCCCACAAGCATATACTCACCTTTCCATGAGATTGCTATCTAGATAACAAATGAAGGAATGTTCAAATATGAAAGAGAAAATGCCATCTCAATATGGTTGAATTCTCAATTTATTTGCCAAATTATTTGTTTTTCGACAAGTGCAAAATTGGAAGTTATTGTGCATTCCTTTCAGAAACAAACTTTTGAACACCCGGAAAATACTTCTCTGTCTCACTTGATTAGATGTGAAATCTAAGATTTCCTGTAAAATACCAGCTGTGATTTCTTGGAGCCTGGGTGTAAATACAAGGTGGAAGGCTCTGCCAGGACATGTCTCTAGGAATGTTTGGTGAATCATGCTTGGTGGGCTAACATCAATCCTAATCACAAACCAAATGTAATAAATCCTTGTTGTGTACAGTTGCATTGCCATGTTTAATTTCCTGCATGGCCGAGTTTCTTGATAAAGAAATCTTTTTCCATTGGTTTCTGTGAGCAGTGTATTAGTGTCATTGTCCTTGCACATTTGCAGCTGATCTCTGGGCTCAGCAGAGGTTAGCCACATGATGTTGTAATCCTGATGTTTTTTATTTCAGCTTATCATTTTTGTACTTAACTTCAGTTTCTGGTTGCAAGTCAAAGCCAAAAAGCATTTATCATTAAAATCTTAATCTGAGCTGTCATAGTATTAAATATTTGAACTGTTTTTATTTCTGTAATACTTGCAACCTGGATCTGATAGATCAAAATAGTGACGTCACACAGTGTTGTAAATTTTGCTTTGTCTTTAGCGTATGTAATTTTTAAGTTCTCGAATTATTTTTAGTTCTTGGTGTTTTTGATTTTGATTTTTTGTCATTTTTGTTGCACCTTCTATAGCCCCCTCTGCCCCTCCACAAGATGTCACCGGCGAGATAGAGGGAGCCACTGCTATCATCATCAAATGGAGTCCACCTCCTCTCAATGCCCGGAATGGGCAAATTACAGAATACAAAATCCGCTATGTGGAAACTGAAAGTGGCCAACAACTGCAGGAGGCGTCAGTGGTCACTGTGCTTGGAGAAAAAGACAGTGTGGTCATACGCAATCTAAAAATTTGGACCAAGTACACAATATGGGTACAAGCAGCCACTAGAGTGGGCCCAGGCCCCAACTCTGTCCCTATTGTAGTTCGAACTGATGAAGCTGGTATGTACTTGATATAGTTGCCCCCTAGGTTGTGGCTTGCATTCCTAGTTTGAACTAACACATTAAAACTTAACTAGCTAAGTGGTGGTTGGTTGGTTGGCATTTCTCCACTGCTTTCTTAAATCTCTTCAGGGTCAAGATTCTGAGTGCCTGTTGATATAGCCTTATTTCTAGATGCCATGTCAAAAAATTCAGAAACATGATTGCTTGACCTTTTGGTTTGACCTTTTCTGTCTGGTGGACTGGGTACTTCCAGCCTTGCTGTGTGCATGCGGTGGGATGCTCTCTAGGGTGGGTCTGCATGCTCTTTAATACATAACTGGACTTTTGAACATGAATTGATGTGCTGCCTTGGTATTTCAACTTATTAATCTCTGTATACTCGATATACCTGAACATCACAGTTATTTGCAGACACATGGGCAATCAATAGAGCCTGGCCTAACAGCTTTGAACAATGGAAGTTAATGCTGCTTCAATCATGGTCAGCATTTGCTTCAAAGCAAGTGCTTGTTTGTAAAAGAATAAAAAATGATTACTCAGCACATCTGGTTTTCCACAAAGAAAGCTGGTTCCTTCAAAAATTAGGCCCGTTACAAGGATTTTGAAAAAATGCAGTTTTTTGTGATCTTTCAAAGGTAAATTGGTAAAGAATATTTGAAACCTTTTGTCTTTCCTTTATCCTTGAAGTAATCTTTAAATGCATTTTGCAATTGGAAGTTTGCCAAGATTACAGTTTATAGTCATTCACATAATTGGTTCCGATTTAGCATCAGCCCAAGTGTATTAAATTGGTGGACAAAACAAGAAATTTATAGTGACTGTCAAAAGTAGTCATCAACCAGTCCTAGACAGTTGGCATTAGAAAAGAAATGGAAAAGTATATCATTTGTCTGATTGAATTACCAAATTAAGTCAGCTAAGTGAACTTAATTTATTTTCCGGTAGCCTAATATGAAATCAGATAACAAAGTGACATTACTGAGGTAGCAATTTATCTTCACTGCTAGATCCATAAACTCTGGATATTGATTAGTATAGGGAGTTCAAGTGACCATCAATTAAAGCAAAACTGTTGTGTACTTTGATGAAGTAAATTATTAATGTTCGCAACCGAGAATGTGAGCGTTGGTTGTGGCAGAATAAGTGTAATTCATGGGAAATTACTCAAGCTGAGTGTCTCCAGTGACTAGAAATTACTTTAGCGGCTAGAGGGTTTGTGTGACAAAATATATTGGTTATTCTTATCAAGAAATAAGAGATGAATTAAAGGGGCCCTCCTTGGTGTTATCAGATGAAGCCTTATGAATATAAGATCATAGGATCTGTAGACATTTAAATTCAGTGCAAGCAGGGAATTTTGTTGGATAAAAGTGACTGTCCCAGTAATTATAGATATAATATACCAGTGATAAAGCCAAGAATGCCTGTCCTTTTATCATATGCACTGACCATTAACAATGGAAAATGTTTTGATTAAGAATATCTGAGAAGGTTGGTTTTGAGGAAAGACTGAAAAATTATGAAGTGAATTGTATCCACTATGTTGTTGTTTTTTTGACATTTATCACAGCTAGGAAAATAAGTTATCAGTCACTTCAGACACTATTTCTGTGATAACGAGCACTTACTCATTCTTGTAGCTTTTATGGAATCCAAATTTGTATTTCTTGTAAATAAAACATGAACACTCCTTGTCTTTATCCTTCACATTTCCAATTCTGACTTTTCCATTACATCCAAAGTTCCCTCTAGATAGGAGAGAGAAGAGAAGATGGTTAAATGTGTGGCCAACTCTTTTCTCTCTCTCTCTCTCTCTCTCTCTCTCTCTCTCTCTCTCTCTTTTTTTTTTTTTTTTTTCTTTTTTTTTTTTTTTTTTTTTGTGCATATGAACTCTGGCCTGTGAAATGAAACTTTGTTTAACTTCCTGAAAAACATGTAAAAATTGAAAGTTCAGAGTGTAAACCAGCTGATCAGTAGTTAACTGTAAACAACATGAACCACAAATAGAAGAAAGGACCAGCTTCATGGTATAGAATTTTGGAAGATAAGGGTGATAATATCTCGTGTATTAAGCCAGTTTTTCAATTTGAGAGCCTTGTGCACTTCCTTTCTAAAGATTTTAGTGTATGGCTCAAGAAAGCTTCAGGATATTTATTCTTTAGCTTAAATAATATTGCTTTCCTCTTTTTTATGTTAGTGGAAGATATGGCCATGTGATAAGCCTAGGGACCCTTCCTGTTTTCTTTTGGAATTGGATACATAATATAGCTGAAACCCAGGGTGCTGTAGTCAAGTAGTAACCCCAAAACTAAAGCTTTGTATCCCAAAATTACCTATTCCAATCTTCTCTCCATCAGAGACTAGAATCAGACATCAGTGAATTCCATACCTGTGACTGTCTGCTAGATGACTACAGTTATGTGCTTTCACTGGAGTTCCACCTTCTAGGCAGTGTTATGCCAGGCTTGAAACTATGACTGGTCATCTAGTGCAGGATCCATAATAAGCTTGTTGGGGATGGGTTGGATTGTAGTTAAGAATTAATGAAGTATCTGGAGTATAACTTCATTTGGCAGTCTGGAGTAGGGTTAGAGGTGTGGAATGTTATAGCAAGAGCTTTATGTTTATTATTTTTGTCCAATTTTTATACAGGCTTAGAGTGAAACGTGGAAAACTAACATTATAACACGTGAAACATTTGATGCCTGTCGTGAAAATCAGATTGGAAAAAAACTGTTGCTAGTTGATCTTTTCTCCAAATAATAATGTCAAAAAGTAGTTTCAGTTTAATGCACAGCAAACAATACAAAAAGGTAGGAAAATGATAAATACCAAGCTTAATTGTCAGTTCATACTCCATTAGACCTTGAGCAGTACTTGAGGACATATTTGTATGAACATTGAAATATGGGAAGAAAATCGATAGCAAGAATGTGCAAGTTGTAATTGCAGCGTCCCAGAGGAAGGCAATATTATCTCTCCCTGTCTGCTAGTTTAATGGACCTAGTTTCTCCCACTTTTTGTTACATGTCAGGAATGTATACAGCAATGCTAGCTTGAAAATGTCAGGAAAAATGACACTTTGGTTTTTAAAAAGATAGCTAGGAATATTGGTAAGGTCTTAGAAATGTACTCTCCGACAATAAAGCACCGGAAAAACCTGTGGTTGTGACATTTACCAGGGCAAATTGAGTGGAGTAAACGAGGTTTCTTTTAACATATAACAGATGTAGCTTTTGATTAGAAAACTCTTGGTGCTTTCCCAGGCCCAGTGCGGTTTTTGCAGGGTTATTGATGCAGAAATGTGCAGGAAAGTTTTGTTGTCCTAATTGTTCAAAAACTTGCAATGAACATTTTGTAAGATGGAGTAATCATGAGACCAAAACTTAGGACCAAAGAACCATTCACTGGATTTTGAATCACAATTATCAAATGAGCCACACTTGTTTTTGCATGTTTATGAATTGCCTAAAACAAAAGTTCTCTGTTACCAAAAAAAATTGAATTCTTCTTTAATGTCAATACCAAAAGCAAAAGATTGATCATTTGTATTCGTGCATTGAAACACTTATATAGAAAACAGAACCTGAAACTTCCTTTTCCTGGTTTCATATGCCCTCTTCTGCATTCACGGTTTTCTAGTCGTTTATCAAAAACACAATATCCGTCTTTGAACTGGTGGCTCTACTAGCTACAGTCAAGGGAGGAAATGAGAGCTTAATGTCGATGATAGGATTGAATTGGAGATTCAGGAAAATCATTTTGTGCAGCCTACTAATACTTTGCCATTGTCTAGACCTCGCAAAGTTTTGGGTTTTATGCTGTAGTCAGGTTGCATACTAACAGTATAATTAATGAGAAAGATATGAGTTGGGTTAATGGCTTTTGACCAAGCATGGTGCTTTTTTATAGGGTTTTATTTATTGCATGATAGACATCTGTATTTTATCATTGCAGGTTTATTTCCAAGTTGACAATTTTTAAAATGGCATTACCAAGAACAATGTAATAAACTAATAAAATAAACTTTGAGTGTTAGCTACTAAATAGCGAAAAGAATTCAATTGTTATTTTTTATGAATTTTATGGAGTACAGTTAAAACAAATACTATTGGATTTTTATAATAACCAAGGAAAAATAAAAAACAGTTTCACAATAATCTAAAAAAATTATGTAAATTTTTTGCTTAAATTCATATCTCGGTTAGGAAATAAAAGCTGTAATCTGTACCTTTATATGCTTTTATTTAATCTGTTATTCTAGTCCCAGGCAGGCCTGAGCGGGTTAGAGTGGAAACTGTCAACTCCACTGCCATCCGGGTGAGATGGAGCTCACCGGCTCCAGACAAACGAAATGGCATCATCCGCGCCTATGTAGTGATCTACGGAAAAATAGACATCAGCAGCATGCAGTTAATAGGGAGCAGGAAGCGCCACACGATCAGCGGTGGTCAGGTGACAGAAACGGTCATCACTGGACTGCAACCGGATTCTTCCTACAAGTTCCAGGTGGCTGCAGTGACTGGGAAGGGAGATGGCATTTATAGCAAGGGGAAAATTGCTAAGACATTAGGGGCAGGTAAGTGCAAAGATTTCATAGAATTTATATCTATAGATACCTTACTGTTTTTCACCTGAAGCAAAGTCAGATTTAACTGATTCATTATTGGTGAATCATAAAGACCCATAAATCTTAGACTCAAAAAAAAAAAAAAAAGTTTTTTACGAAAATGGGTACCCAAATAAGAAGGTATAGATTGAATAAGTGCTGAGCTGTTGGTAATTGATTCAAATGCTCGGTAACTCTGCCATCATTAACACCTGGTTCTTGTTGAAGATTTGATTTAAGGGTGACTAGTTCTTTTATTATTAAGTCCAAAAGAAATGCAGATTGAGTCAAGAAATGGACTATTGATGATTTGCTGTTTATCTCCAAAAATGAGCACAGGAATACAAGGGGAATTACGATTTGTAATAAACTTTTGATTTCTTTCATAATTTTATGATTTTGAGCAGCATTGAATATATACTGATGGCTTCATTTCAGTCCCAGAAAGACCACGTTCCTTCAGAGTAAATTTAATCAACGAAGATCCGCCCATGGTGCAGCTGGTATGGCAGCGACCTAGGAATATCTATGGAGCTCTGCAGGCGTATAAGTTGGAGTACGGAAAAGTTGGTTCTGACAAATTTGAGACTATAGCACTTGAAGCTGAACAGTACCAGCGCACAGTAACGTCACTAGGTATGTTTTCATGTATACACACTAGGAAAAGTAGAGCAAAAATTTATATGGATGGCATTTGTATGTTGCCCCTGAAAGCATTCATTTCCACTGGTATTTTCACATAATCAAGAGATCTACAAGCTTGTTAGCCAAGATCATAGAACTTAATCTCCTGGAGTACTGCCGTGAATTAACAGAGCCAGGTGTGCAAGTCTGATTGCCTGTCCCTTCAGGGTGTTTATTTAAAAAGAAAGAGTTCAAGAGGGGAAATGAAATTGGTTTTACCAACCTGTTGGTTTTTTATGGAGAAGTGATATTTAAAAAAAAAGATACATTTTTGAGTTGTAAATCTTTCGTAACAATAGTGAAGGCAATATGTAACATTCAGCTAGGGCAGTAAGGAAGTGTTAATGTCTTTTTTCTTCCCCTCCATAGACAGACTATTAGATCACCATCTAATGTGTCTATTTTAAGTGCCTGCATTAGTTCCAATAACAAGCTCCCTATTAATGTGAAGGCCATTGCAGATTCAACTGCTCCATAGTGGGTCACAGATATCACTAGCTGCAGCTTGGATTGTATTTCAGCAAGTCTCTGAAATCCAATAATTTTTTTGTAAAGCAGAACATTTCAGGATCTCAACTGTCATTATTGTAACTTTGATGTTATTAAATACATAAATGATGATCAATTTATGGACCATGCTAACAGATATAATGGGACAGTTCTGTTGACATTTTGCATAGATTTGATGAATGCCATTGTGTATTATGAAATTAATGGATGTTCTTTCACAATGTGCACCATTGATTATATACATCTATTCTTGTTTTCTTTACAAGACTGAGGTTAATACTCTCAAAAATTGCCGCCATGTGTTACTAATGGAAAAGTGATGTTTTTCCTCAATTATTATTGCTTAACAGCATGTAATTTATTATAGATCTTTCCAAATCATATAAAAGCTTTTTACTTCAGTTCTGAAATATGTAAATAAATATCCGTTAACTTTATAAATATTGTCATTGAATTTGAATTGTATGATAATTACTCTAAAATGTATTATACAAATATCATAAATTTATTTTATAGATCGTGGTGCTGAATACGAGTTCCGACTGTCAGCCAGAAACACTGTCGACTATGGCGAAAAGGCAGTACAGAATATCAAAACACCAGATTCTGGTTAGTATGTCTACTCTGAAGCCCTCTGAATAAAAAAAGCGCTGGAAAATATGGGATGCGTTTCACATTGATTTCAAGTGAAAACCTCCAATGATAATTGCATTTTTCTCCAAAGACCTCGACTAAATGCATCTTATCACTTCCTTGTATGTGAACTTTTTCCCCACCAGTTCTACATACTTAACCAATGACAGTGATGCAATTATTATTAAAAGGTGCACTCTCTTTACTTGACTAAGTCTTATAATCATATATTATACATTATCATCTTACTTGGCTATAATCCTTTGAAACATGTAAAAGAATATCTGCATTGAATGAGGGAACAGGCAGTGTGATACCAGCCTTTAGAGTGTGGCCATCACTATAATTGACAAGAGAGAGATTATCATGTGCATTCCAGTATTGGATTAATCTTAAATTTGTTTTCCCTTTTTAGTTTTTCATTTGGTGCATTACATCTATGTAGTCGTATGATTTGATTCAAGTGGCATTTGATATTTTCAAATTTCGTTAGTATCTGATAAGTTGGTATTTATGAAATGTAAGAATTGATCAGGGAGTCCTGCTAATGGACCGAGTAGTCCACAGGTGTGAGATTGGACAAGATCCACTCCAACTCACTGTGGGCATGTAAATAATCTGTAATAAGAAAGCATTGATGGGACTCTAGAGAGTGCCTTGAATTACCCACATATAGAAAATACAGTAGTAGGCCTGAATGGTGCTGTTTCCAATGTTTGATGGATAGAGGTTGAAAATTGAGTGCTGGCATGTAATAATCATGAATGTGAAACAAGGCACTTAGTACTGACTAGCATAATTATAGAAAGGGGAGAGGAAATTCTTAAGGGATTGGGGGATGTCCCTCTGAAAGAGTACTAAAGTTCAATTAATACGTTATTACTAAGTTCAGAGGTCAGGATTGTTTGATATCTTTAGCCCTCATTCATATTGTTTTCCCCAAATAACTTGTGACATTCCAGTAAACTTGCTGTCTATACCCTCCTTTCTTCCTTCCTTCAGTACCCTATGGATACCCAATGAACTTCACCATGAGCGCCAAGACTAGCACAGTGGCTCAGTTGAGCTGGAAGCCACCTCCAGCTGACCAGTGCAATGGCAGGATCATCATGTATGAAATAGAGTATTACAAGAAGCTGGACGACATCAATTCCTTCTCATTGAACGTATCACAAATGGAGACTGAAGTGTCTGGGTTGGAAACCAACGAAGTCTACTTGTTTCAAATCAAGGCCTACACCAGCAAAGGACCAGGGCCATGGAGCCCTAAATATCAGTTTAAGACATATAAACAATGTAAGTTTTGTTCCCAGTCAATTCAGTAAGATAACCCACACCTATATATCCTTTTTTCTTGCCCATCCCCTTCTATCACCTGTAGCCATATTTCTGACTGCTACTTAGTGTGTGTATCAGTGGGAGTGTGGGTGGAAGTATGGAATGGTGTGCAGTGTTCCTGGATCAAATTGTTAGGTTGAAGAAAATGAAATTCCACAAAACATTCACTCCCTAAAGGATCATTTCATAATCTCCAATTATGTTATCTTTGGAAGCAACCCAGTGTAACGGGCAGCCAGGCATCATTGATTTGTTGATAGAGTTGTGTGTTTTTTGCATGGTGTGTGATGTCAGACAAGATGATATATTGCAGTATGTTATAACCACATGTGCTTTATGCAAAATCCATGTACTGAAATGTGATTAGGCTGCATCAATGTTTACCACTTTGAGAGACATTGTGGTACTTCTACATGGAAAAATGTCATATTGAACATGGAGATCAGAGCATGTTTATGTTAATGATTGTGGTACTATTTCAGTTGAGCATACATATTGATCAGTTCCATTCTATGTTTTATGTTATAATTTTTTTTTTTTTACCTTCTGTCAGATGTAAATTTTTACATTGGCAAGTGAGACAAAACCTCGATACGCTAATAGATAAAGAAAAAAAAAGAAAGAACAGGACTTGATGGTTTTGCCTTTGAAGGTGGTAAAGCCTATTCTGGTTAATATCTGTACAAAACCAGAATATTGGACTCCCAATTATTGGCATTTCTTGGTAGATTCTAGTTATTGGTGTCAGGAGACCTTTAAATTTCTAGTCTGGTTTCTTTCTAGGTCCCAAGGGGACATAAAAATAGAGGCATCTATTGGAAGCAATTCCTTATTGTTTTAAATTTCATTCTAAAAGTATTTTCTATGACCCTGTTGATAAATATGGAATTTTCTTTAAAAACAGTTCATCCATACTACTGACAATTAATACCACATCAGCATATATTAATTTTGTAATTGTTCTTCCTTTGAAATCTTTGAGTTCCTTGTGCTCTGAATAAATGTTGCACTTAATTATACTGAAAATGAACATGATTGGATATCTGTATTATGCTCTATCAGGATATTTCATTTGCTGCTTGCTATTTGTTTTTCTTTTTCCATGTTATCTTAATTGTGCTATGTTGAATTTTTTTACACTTCAGTGCCTGCAGCACCCACCAACATTAAACTTCGTCGCACATCTCACTCCACTATCCAAGTGACGTGGAATGCCCCCAACTTCCCCATCAAGGGTTATAGAATATTCTATAGCTCTTTCCCCAACAGGGACATGGATCTGTGGACCAAAAAGACTATCCCGCCAGTGACTGCCACTGACTTGATTCAGTTAACTGACAGTTGTTACTATGTGCGCGTCCAGGCCCAGTCGCTGGATGGAAGATTTGGAAACCTGTCCGATCAAGAAGAAAATTGTGAGCAGCCTCCAGGTAAAATATTCACCCTTCATCCCACCCTCTTTGCTCCACACTCATATATTTTAGATGTGAATGGTTTGATTCATGTTGTTCTTATCATGTCTTCAAAATATATATATGATATTTGAAGTTAAATTCACAGACTCTGTCTTCTCCTTGCCCTCGTATTGGCAAAATGACTGCAGGGGCTGCAGCTTACCATGCTCATGTTTAGATAAGCTATGAATTCACTCAGATATTTGGCATTTTCAACAACTTTCCTCCCTTTCTGCCTACCAACGCTGGGGTTTATCTCGGTATAACATATTTCTACACCAACTACTCTTAGTAATGGGAACCAATCCACAATGTTATTTTCCTATGAAACTTGAGATTGCTGGCACATTGTTTGTATGGCATACGCTGATACTGTAACCCAGTGTTTTCTGTAACTCTGTCGGCATAGAACCCAACCGTTTTACATGTAGCATTCTGGACACCCTATTGTTTGGATTGCCGTGGAGATGTCCCAGTTGTTCCCTTGATGTTTTTATCCAAATTGACAGCATCAGGATTGACTGTAATGTACTGTAATTCCCGATCGTTATTTACATGTAGCACATCTGCATCATTCAAGTTGCATGGACTGCATTAGAGCAGTATCTGCCATTGAAATGTAACCTATGTCAAGAGAAGGAAAATAGTATTTAGATGATCATACAGAAGGATGAGTTATAGATAGGAATATAACTATTAGAGAAAAGTTTGAAGAATTTTAAAGATGCAAAACCTGGTCAGTAATAGTCTCTTCTCTCACGCTCACTCTCGTCTCCATAGAAATCCCCCAGTGTGTCCGCTCCTTCACAGCAGTGGACACTAGCTCAGATTATGTAGTCTTGGACTGGGACCCTCCACTTACACCAGGTGTGGTGAAGTATAAGGTGAGCAAGATACTGCTGGAACAACTTTGTCTTGCAAGATACATATGTATATAGCATTGGTATTAGGAAACTAGTATTATTGCAGATATTAATACTTGACCAGAATTTCAGGCTTATAATATTGTTTTAACTGTTGTGGAATAAAGTTTATTGAAGAATTTGTGAAACCAAAAGAAAAAGAAAAAAAAAGCTGTGGTATGATAGACATTAACAGTGGTCCCGTCTGTCTCTCCCTATAGATCTTGTACGAAGGTAGCCAGAGGGACATTCTTGTCCATCCTAGGTCAGAAATAACTGTGCGCAACCAGGAACGGGTCAAAATCAGCGAGCTGTTTCCTGAGACTCGCTACACTTTCAACATCAGCGCTCAGTTCTTAGATGGGTCACTTGGGCCATATGTATACACTTTGGCTGAAACACAGAGAGGAGGTCAGTGGATAGTGCTTAAGCCAGAAATAATCCTGGCTCCTGAACTGCATCATGCCATAGCAAAAAAAGATTAATATTGCATGAATTGCAGCATCTAATAGACAGAGAGTCCACAAATGCCCTGTAATTTTTTATCAACTGCAGTTATCATATTCTCCCTTGACTAACATTGAGTGACTAATTTGATTGCAATGTTCATTCATGCTGAATGAAATAAGGTTTGATCTGGAAATTGTATGAAGTAATTTCATTAGCACTAACTTCAGTTATTCTCTGAACCCCTGGTTGAGCAATCTTGATTATTTATAGCATGCAGCTACCATAAAGCTTTTATATTTTCAAGAAATATTCTCACAGTACCCACTTGTATTGTCATTTCCTAAGACATAGAGTAGATCTAACCATATTTGCCAGTTTATTTACTTGGATAATTAAAAACTGACTTGGTGCATTCCTTATATTAAGCTTTCTTTTCTAGTCTTCATGATGCTTTTCTTTTTGCAGAGTACATGGACGACATAAAGTACATTTTCGTAAAAAAAGGACGCAATCTGGTCTTACAATGTTTTGCCACTTTCCAAGAAATTCGTCCAGCTAAACAACTTTATTGGAAATCAACCTACAAACACCTTGATGAATCTTATATTATCAACCGGGTGGATTCTACAGGAACTCAATTTTTCTCTACTGTCGTCATTAATAAAACTCGCGTCGAACATTCAGGCGTCTTTTTGTGCCGGACAAGCGGTCGTATTTTGAAAAAATTCATAGTGAAAGTTCACAGTGGCTCTTATCATCCCCCAAAACCCAAGGGTGAGCTAAACTTTTCTCTTTCAAGTCTGTTTTCAGTATTTTGTCCTTGTCTTGACTTGACCTGCCCCCTACCTACCATCCCCATCCTACATAACATGCATGGTATGCTGCCTCGCCTGTCAACCTGAATGTTTTCATATTTTGCATGAATCAAAATGTCGCATGGTTTCATATACTTGTTCATTGCATGTGTTCATGTTGTTTTCAGGGGTTGAGTGTGTAAGCACACTCAGCTCAAAGAATCAATGCAGCTACATTGCAGTGAATCATCAGTATATTTGAAGTGTTCTTTTTTGAGCACACTTGGTTTGAAATTATGCAAGAGAATAGTCGCATTATTTGATCACACTTTTTCACTGACTGAAGGTGCAATATTCCCTATATATTTGTAAACAGTAAGACTCACCTACTGATGTATTTCCATTTCAGTGATGTTTGTGTAGGTATAATAATATTATATCAATACCTAATGTACTCAAACCTTTATGGTGCCATTTTGAATGTTGCATGATTTTGCAGACAGTTTAGATGTGGAAACCCAAAGTGTGAACAGCAAGACTTCCAAACGTTGAAAACTCTAACATTCTGATATAAGTTCATTTTAGTTTCAGTTATGGGCATGATCTATAACATTTTAAATGGCATAGCATACATGTACAGCAGTGTATGTTGGAGAACTTTTTGAGACTATTTCAACTTAATCTAGCTCTTGACAAGTAATGTTTTTCTTACAGTCCTTGAACGTCCACAATTCCGAAAAATGAATGAGGATAAAACCATAGGATTCCAGCTGAAATCTCGTAGTCGTATCGGCAAGGTGGACTATTACTGGGTTGTTGTGGTGCCCAAGTCCCACTTTGACATCAAGGAACCCAATGAATTTGAAGAGAATGAGGTATGGCTGTGGATAAGTATACTTTTATAGAACATGAAAGATGATAAATTTATTGTAAAATTGCAGAAGTTCATATAGTTACGTGTATTTTTTTCTTTTGTGTGATCAGATCTCTCTCGCTTCTAAATTAGTTGACTTGCTACCTAGGGTATGATTTGGTCTTCTCCTTGGCATTCACCATGACTGTTTTATTTTCCAGCTGCAGAGTGATATCAGTCCAGCCTACATTGCAGCCCAGTTTGAGGGAAATAATCTGCCAGACATGTTTTCTTTGAGTGATGGAAACATGTATGGGAATTACCGAAACAAAAGGCTAGATGAGAATGAAGAATATAAGGTCTTTCTACGTGCAGTGACAACCGAAAATGTGAGTATAGAGTAGCCATTTAATATAGATCCACATATCAGCTTTACCTGTTGACTGTTTCATCTGTTCACTGTTACAGACTTGGATCCAACAAAACTATTTTCACACGAGTATAGAGTGTTTTTGTTTTTTCATTAGATCAAATCACAAAAATTGATCTAATGTTGGAAACTGCTCGTATGTATTTAATGGCTGTGTTTCATATTAAAATATGTCAATATTTTGTTACATGAATAAAAGCTTCAGTGAAGTAATGTCTTATTTATTGGATTTTAGGAGGTCACGTCCAGTGACTACTCTGAGCCATTCAGCCTGAAGAGAGGGGTGCCCCCCAGGAGAAGCCCTCTGACCCCTGCTGGAGGAGGTTTTATCTGGATTGTGGGGGTAGTTGCAGCAGTCATTCTCCTCATTATCTTCATTGTGATCGTCTTCTTTGTTGTCAGGTAAGACTCGAGTCTTCAAAGTTAATTACAGTTATGGGACAAACTCTGACGCTTGGTTTTTGATGTCTGTTTTGTGTATCCCAAATATGTTGTGATTGCTTGTGGGAAAGTTTTTTATACTATGCTATGCTGTTGGTGTTTTACAGGAGAAAATCAAAGAGGAAAGAGAAGGCTCCGGAGCCTACCAAAGTATTTGTTGATCCAACACCCCCAGGGCCACAACACCCTACAGACCCTGTAGAGATGAGACGGATGAATTTCCAGACACCAGGTACAAGCAGTTATAAACTCATTGTTTCTTTATCCATGGTAGACTAAGCATTTGGATTGTCTTTGGTTGATTGCAAACACTGGCTTGCAGTTAAAATACAGTAACATTTAGATTGAATATAATATAGTCTACTATACTAGTTATATTTGTTACAGTAGTGGTTCTCTGGGTGCCAGGCAGCAATGTTAACATCCATATCTATCCATACACAAACATTGTAAAAGCATTGCAATAACTGTAATTTGAAAATCTCTGACATGTGCCCATTCTTTACTGCAGCCATGATCAGCCACCCACCTATCCCAGTAGAACAGCTGGCTGAACACATAGACAGACTGAAGGCGCAGGACAACCTGAAGTTCTCTCAGGAATACGAGTCAATAGAACCAGGGCAGCAGTTCACATGGGACAACTCCAACTTGGAGGTCAACAAACCCAAGAACCGCTACGCCAATGTCATCGCTTATGACCACTCCCGGGTGATCCTTCAGCCTCTAGATGCCATCACAGGCAGTGATTATATTAACGCCAACTACATGGATGGGTACAGGAAGCAGAATGCCTATATTGCAACCCAGGGTCCACTGCCGGAGACTTTCTGTGACTTCTGGCGTATGGTGTGGGAACAGAGGTCAGCCACAATTGTGATGATGACAAAACTGGAGGAGAGGTCAAGGGTAAGCTGATATAGACTAATGTGGAACAAAATCTGAGTGTCCTTGGCTTGTGAAACTGAAAGCTTAGACATTGTGTATACCTTGAAAGGTTGATAATTTTAGGCTGAAACAGACAAGAAGATGATAGAAGAACACTAAACAATATTAAAAAATTGAGCCTTTTCCTTGGTTAATCATCATGAAATCCTCTAAGTAGTTGTAAATTAAGACTAAGGATAGATGCACTTACCTCAATAGATTAGCCAAGTATTGTTTATGTATGCCAAAAACAGTTTTACATTCTCTCTTTAATGTCAAATTTTAAATTCTAATTTATTGACCTTTGATTTTTATATAGATCAAGTGTGACCAGTACTGGCCACTCCGCGGCACAGAGAACTATGGCGTGATGCAGGTGACCATACTGGACATCATGGACCTGGCCACCTACACCATACGCACCTTCCAGCTGTCACGGCAGGGCTATCCAGAGAAGAGGGAAGTGAAGCAGTTCCAGTTTACAGCCTGGCCAGATCATGGGGTGCCGGATCACCCCACACCTCTACTGATGTTCATGAGGAGGGTGAAAGCTAGCACACCTCCAGATTCAGGGCCCATGATCACACACTGCAGGTGAGAGGGGCACAGTGATCAGTTCTGTTTTTTAGGGTATGAGGTATTTGATAGCATTTTGAAAGAGGACTTTTTCCTCATGATAAGCCACAAAATGGTGATTTAGTTAAAGCCAAAAGCAGAGGAATGGAGTGGAATGGATGAAATCTGGTGAATGGTTATGTCATTTTATTGTACAGTTCATCGTCACTGCCTAAGTCTTATGTAGTATTTTCTCTTTCTTTTTCCCAGTGCTGGTGTTGGAAGAACAGGTGCTTTTATTGTCATAGATGCCATGTTAGAGAGAATACGCCATGAAAGAACTGTCGACATCTATGGTCACGTCACATGCTTAAGAGCACAGAGAAACTACATGGTGCAAACAGAAGACCAGTATATATTCATTCACGATGCCCTTCTGGAGGCAGTCACCTGTGGAAATACAGAGATTCCTGCCAGGAATTTGTACGCACATCTCCAGAAACTCACACAGCCAGAGCCAGGGGAGACAGTCACAGGAATGGAATTAGAATTCAAGGCAAGTAGAATTTAAGTTTTTCCTATTCTTACACCTTTCTTTCTTGGTGATTCACAGATAATTGTATATGTTTATAGTGCTATTTAAGGTATAAACAGAATAGAAAAGTAACCAGAAAACAGTGGATAAAAAGTCCAGTAATGAAGATGCTATAAGTTGCTATGATTTATTTATATATTTTGATCATACCAAAAGTGGGTTTGTATTGATATTTATTGTCCCACTCTTCCAGAGGCTAGCTCACACCAAGGCCAACCCTTCCAGGTTTGTCAGCGCCAATCTTCCAGTGAACAAATTCAAGAACAGATTAGTCAATATCCTTCCATGTAAGTTGTTCTCATGTCATAGTAGAGAGAGTTATTTGTTATTTATTCATGATGTATCTTTCCCTGGAGTGAGCAACTCAACTTCCAACAAGTGCGGATTTATTGCTTAATGGAAAAATCATTGCGCAAGAGCAGTTCCAGTTGAAGCGAGTATCTTGAAGGCATATTGCATTATTAGTTCATAGTGTGCAAATGGCTGAAGATAATTACTGTAGTTGATTTCTGTCTAAAGCTGAAAATAGGTACCTGATACCTGTCACATACACGCAAATATAGATCCGTGATTGAGACATAAATGTCATATCTTCTGTGGTTTAATTGTAATAGATGTGAAAATAAACCAATTGTGTATTTACCAATGGCAGGAAGTTGTCAGATTATCGATCATCAAAGAGAAATCATTTATTTGTGAGAAGAAATTGTTTAGATATATGATTAATCTGTCTGGTTATGTGATAATGGTGGTCAATTGGATTGGTATATAAAAAGCAAATTTGTTTTTCCATCCAGATGAAAACACCAGGGTGTGTCTCCAGCCAATTCGAGGAGTTGACGGCTCAGATTATATTAATGCAAGCTATATTGATGTAAGTATAATCACATTTGCCATATGAAATAGCATTCTGTGTGGGAAACTTCATAATCATGGATGGGATAAGATCCCAGGTTCTGTGAGGACACCCAGTCATTATGTACTAAATGACTGATCACAGTATGGTACAAAAAATGGCAAACTATTGATTGTTCGTGTGGCATTGATTTAGAGATCAATAGCTTTGGCAAAATGCACGTAAATGTCTCTTAAATGATGATGATTGCCATGTTTTATGTGTACTTTAAAAGGTCTGAGAGAATGGGTTTAAAGCCAGTATATACCCATGGTAGAATGGATAGATAGATTCAGCAAGTTCATTCAAGTAAATACAGATTGTATTTAATCGAGGGCTAATATAAGGCTCATAGTTTCATAAAGTCAGATTCAAATATAAAATTACTACTAAGCAGAACATGGTTTCCATATTATATTAAAAGTCTAGATAAAACATGGTAAGCAAAAAGATGGTGCAAGAACATGGTTAGCAAAATGATGGGGTGTAGTAATTTCAAAGAAAAAAAACTAGTAGGTATATTTTGATGGGTATTGATGGATATTTATATATTTATGTTCAAAATGAACAGGTCACCTTGAAGTGTTATATTTTTACATTATGTTGTCTTCGGTTGCAGGGTTATAGGTACCGAGGTGCCTACATTGCCACACAGGGTCCCCTGGGGGAAACCACAGAGGACTTCTGGAGAATGTTGTGGGAGCATAACTCTACAATCATTGTCATGTTGACAAAACTCAGAGAAATGGGAAGGGTAAGTTTAGTTTTCTTACTCAGATATGTAGCATGTACATGCTTTCATTAAAGATATATGTAGTTTAGGAATTAAAAAAAGAGAGAGAAAATTGTGATCATTTTTCAGAACTAATTAAATGAAATAAACACTAAAAATTAATGGAACTTGATATTTTGAACAGCAGTGAAAAAGATTTTTATGTCTAACATTCTTTTAAAAATCTGTCTATGAAAGTACCCCTAAATTCCATCTATATGAAGTTTCCTATTCTGTGTTCCCAGGAGAAATGTCACCAGTACTGGCCCAGTGAGAGATCTGCCAGGTATCAGTATTTTGTGGTGGACCCCATGGCGGAGTATAACATGCCTCAGTATATCCTGAGAGAATTCAAGGTCACAGATGCCAGAGTAAGTTTGATCAATAGCAAACAGGCTTTTTCTCTGGAGAATTTAGAAAATATTGTAGAAGATATTAATGTTGTGAAAGGAAATATTTTGTCTTCAACATACCTGGAAGAGTATGAATGGGACATTAAACAGATCATTGATATACATCATGTAATTATGACCAAATTACTAAAAAAAAACATATAAAGACACTACTCATCAGAAGTACAAAATTGTATTTTCATGTTGACTGTTTGTATTAATATTTTTAACTAACAACTTTTGGAAATTGTAATAATTATTTATACTCTCAGTTAAATTTATTATTATTATTATGTTTTATGAGATACATAGTTCTAAATCAAATTTCTGCCCCTCCAGGATGGCCAGTCGCGGACCATCCGTCAGTTCCAGTTCACCGACTGGCCAGAGCAAGGAGTGCCCAAGTCTGGGGAAGGGTTCATAGACTTCATTGGACAGGTGCACAAGACAAAGGAACAGTTTGGACAGGATGGACCTATATCAGTGCACTGCAGGTAGGTATTATGAAACTGTGACATGGCTCTGTTAAATAGATGTATTCTCCATCCATTTGTTATTGGAAGTTATTGGACTTAAAATATTTAAACAATAGAGGACAAAATATTTAAACAATAGAGGACTGTTAGCGGAGGTTATAAAAGGGAATATGGATTTTTCTTTCTTCTCCTGGCATTTTCTGTTCCCATCCTTATCCAAGTCCCATTGAATTCATTGACTACCAGTTCACTTGTGCTATTTTTGTATGCAGTAGCAGTATGAAGTTATGAAGTCAAAATAACTACAATGCATGCAGTGGGAGATAACATGTTAATCCTGTAAAAGTCCATTTTCTGCCAGTATCATCATTTCTGATATCATGACATTATTCCTTGCAGTGCTGGCGTGGGTCGCACCGGTGTGTTCATAGCCCTGAGTATAGTCCTGGAGAGGATGAGATATGAGGGCGTGGTGGATCTCTTCCAGACAGTCAGAATGCTGAGAACACAGAGGCCAGCCATGGTACAGACAGAGGTGAGTTCTCCTGGCCTGTTCTCACATTTTCTTTTCGTTATGGGTGCTCTTCTAGTAAATAATGTACTGTGAATTGAGGAGCCAGATGTTAGGTTATGCTTTGTGCTTTTATCTTTTTATTTTAGTCTAAGAAAATAACCTTAAGTCACTATACGGTTTAATATTTGAGGACTTTCCATAAACAGCAGTAGGATAGACCATTTATACCTCTACATGTTGATTGATCAGAGTTTGTCTTTATTTGCAGGACCAATATCAATTCTGCTACCGTGCTGCACTGGAGTATTTGGGCTCATTTGACCACTATGCAAATTGAACTGCTGATAGAAAACTCAACCGACGGGATGTTTCAATAGTTGAAGAATAGGACAACACACATTAGATATTGAGCCTTTGATTACTATGCAGTCAAGGATTCAAGAGTCTTTGTGATTCCCAAATTGATAAAATGTGTGAGGACAATCACTGGTATTGACAGAACCATCACAAAAAATATGATGTACTTGATCTCAGAATGATAGAAATACAGGATTATTAACCAAGCAGAATTTTAAAATAGATACCCTCATTGAGATCATGCAGCTTAGTCTGGATTTTAGACCCCCAGTGGATAACAGTACAAGGGATTGATGTACCTCTCGAGACTGCAACATATCAGAACATGGAATAAAGAGAGTTCAGTTTCTTTTAAAAGATTATGTCACAATGCATAAGGTTACAAAAAAATGAAAACAAACTTGGAAACCGTAGTTCTTGTTGTTGAAGAGCCAGTAGAATTAATTTAGAAAAAAAAAATAAACAGGGAATCTGCATAGTATATTTCATAAAACCTGGGCTGTGTCTAATTACCTGGAGATACATGTGTGTGGTCGCAAGGTTGCAGAGAATGCAATAGCACAAATGTGATGTATATATCTATCTATAAGTATATCCATGTGAACAACATATCTAGGAGTCTGTGCAACATGTGCCAAGAAAATGCACTGAAGTTGAGACTGAAGGACTGAGTTATACATTACATGTTGGACTGAGTTAAACGTTATGGATGGAGGTTCACAGATTGATTTATCAAGATGTTATTTTCTCATTTAAACTCCTACACGCCCAATGGGACGTATATGTAGCAAACGCATTTGAATTTGTAAGTAACTTGATTGAAGGGCAGTGTCAACTGGCCATTGCAAATCTCCCCATTGTGGAGGATTTGCAGTACAGAGTGAAGAGATCCCCAAAAAATTCTCATTTCCAATGCTGAGTCCTTTGCTACAATATGGGATACAGCCTAAATGTTGATGGCCATGTTGCCTTGAAGCCCCAGTCATCATTACTGTGGTGTATCTATTGTAAATCCTGTAGATGGGGCATGTGTGTTGAGTAGTGACATTTTAGACTGCTGTAGTAGTAACCATAAAACTTTCTATCCACCTGAGCAAAACGGACCATGTGTTGGTTAATGAATATAGAAGTGGCATTATTTGGAGGGATTTTCTCAGAGAAGATATAGATAATTAGGTTCTGTGGATTTTGTAGTATTTTCTTTTCACAAAGGTGCTGCCCGTGTAACTTAAAATTGAGTAGGACATGTAACAGTTTCATAACCACCACTTCATCATATCAAGAGTACATAGCAATTCATTATATACTGTAATGTAACAAAACAATACCCTATTATTCTGCATGTTATGTTATATTGTTAATATGTGTTGCTTATAGGTGGGAGGGGGATATGAAATGCAGGTTGAAAACCTTGTAAATGAATGATTTCTGTTCCCAGATGGTAATTCTCACTTGTCAACGTATGTAATTTTATGTATCTTGGGGGTTTGCATTTGGTGCAACAACTGATCTAGTAACTGAGCTCAAATTGTAAAGTTTTTTTATAAAAACATTGGTGTAAGTAAAATATATTTACTGAGGCTAACTCTGCAAAATACATTCATTAAAAGGAAATAATAATAAGCACACATATGATATTGCAAATCGTATTATTCTGAACCAGTAATGTAGGAATATTTTTTGAGCATGGCATCACTATTGCTTCAATATTGCTGCACACTTTGGTGGCCGCCTTTGTCTTATGGTTTAAAAGAGGGAGTAAATAGTTCAACAGTATTAAAACCCCTTTGTACATGTTCAGTTTTCAGATTGTATTATCATGAATTTAAAAGAATCTGTAATATTCCTTTGATTTAATATTATTTTGTACATTGTAATGGTAGGGAGAATAATGAGATGTATATGTACATAAATGTCCCATTTGCTTCAGCTGCTTTGCCCAAAGTTTTTTATACAAAGCTCTTTGTATTGTAATATTTAAGTTTTTACATGTTGAGAATATGAATAATATTAGTGTGCTTTGTGTATATATATCGAGATTGCATATTGAAGGTTGTCAGTTTCGGTATTTTATGTTGCCATGGTCACAAAAACTAATGAATATTTGTATTTTCTTTGTATGGTGTTAGCATTCAGTGTTTTTCAGTGGTGTAACATTAGATCCATACTATGATGTAGTGGTTCAGCTCCAGCTGGTTCAATTTTGTAAATAAACTGGACATACATTGTATTTCACTTGATGAATTTTGTCTTTACTCGTAAAAAAAACTCAAGTTTTATGTTTATAAATGCTCATACAAAAATTGGTGCCCGTACAAAAATTAGAAAGGCACCCGGAGAGCGCAGACCGACAAGGCAGTTCAATTCTCATTGTTATGTTAATAATTTAATTAAAATTAAATAATGGATCTCCACCCAATCGATTCTAAGTTCGCCATCATCAGACCTTTTATTTCTCAAAATACCTCCATAACTTTATTGTGATTTAAGTTATGAACTAACAAAGCAATTAAAAATCTTCTTTGGGGAGGTAACACTATTTTGCCTTCAACTGACTGTAAACGCCTGGCTAAAGGCTAAATACAGGTTAAGTATGATGATGAGTCTAACTGGACTCTGGTTCAAAAGTTAATTTTTAATCTCTGGAAATGCGATATTTTTTTAGTCTGAATTGTAGAATATCAATTTAATCAATAAACATGTCTCTTGGTCAGATCCAGGCGTTCTGTCAACCCCTTGTCTAGCTCACGTGCAACAACATGGTTTTCTTCAGCTCAATCAGTTGCATGAGTCCTTCGCTAACACATAATATATCATTTTTGGTTTTATTTAATATATAAGAGTAATACTGGGTTATTATAATGAATTAAAGTGAACTCTGAATTTCAATAAGACCAACTACACCGACAATTTTATTTCTTGTTTCGTTTTTAAATCAGCGTTTTGGGATAAAATTATATATATATAGTATATATATATAGTAGTTGCCATTCATGAATATTCATGACTGGTCATAACACTGGTCAAGAACCTACATTATATCATCACATAAAGTACTGAAGCGTGACTCTCACTGGAACCTAATTTAATTATGCTCACTCTCACTTCTCCAACCCTAGTGTACAGACCTAGGATGTGTCACTACATCGTGACAGCGTATGACTCAACAGATATGTAAGTGTATTTCTATATTACCAATGTAGTTTAAGTTTTTATTGTATATAGCTATTTATTAGCTTTTAAGTTTTCTTTTCCAGTTGACCAGAGTTCTGCAATGAAATAGGAAAATCTGAGTTTGTATTTGGGTCTTCCGTAAAAAACAAAAGGAACCAGTAGCAACAAATGTGAAGCGAATCCGAATCACCGATACACGTATACAGCACTTTCGACTCTGGTGGGATTTTTGCACAAATTTCTACAGAGCTCTAAAATAAACCAAAAGATCAAGTACTGATATGTTTGTGCTAGGACATATTGAACAAACTGGTTTCGTGGGTCCAGGGTTTGATTTAGGTTACAAATCTAGGAGGAAAAGCTTCTAGACTACAGTACCTATAAATTCGCCCTTCGTCTGCATGGTTTCAACGCTAAGTAGACTCGTTTATTGTAAGTGAATAACGCAAGTTGGGTTCTGCGACAAGTAAAATGGATGGAATTTGCAAAAAAGGATATTAAGTGAGAGTCTCAGTATATTAAATACAGGCCCTACTCAAGACACATCAAAACCTGTTTAACTTTCTATCCTGCGATAACATAAAAATGTGTACCTCCCACGAGATATTTTGTATATAAGATTAGACCTACTGAGCAAGGTTTTGTCAGGAGATTCGCTGCAAAATCAATATAGACTAACTTAATTTTTTGTAAGAGTTCGAACACAATGAGGGCATTATGAAATCACTGTAAACTACGTAGTCACGTCAGGTTCTTCTATCACATTCATATTAAATTTCTATTACATGGATGTTCTATCCCGAGAAAGCGTTTAGGGTGACAAATTGTGGTAAACATCTTATCAGGCTGTAGAGTCAGTTATATCATTTTCACTTGTTTTCAATCCGAAAAAGAAACAAAAATACCTGACCTTGGGTAAAAGGGGAAGCTATGCAATGTGCGAAAAACCCACGCAAAAGTGACTTCTGTTAGGTTTGTACTTGTTCTATTTTCAGGAAACGTTCAGGTGTAGTAAAATAGCTTAAAATGTTTTCTTGTTAATTGAATCTATTCATAGTTTGATGCCTCGCCTGTTAAATCTTCTATTGGCAGTGTCGCCGACCAATGTGACAGCTGAGATCACGATAAACACATTCAGCGAAATCAACTGAGAAAACAAAGGTGAATAAAGGACAGATATTTTTGACAAAGAACTACCTGGTGCACACTAAAAAAATCAAGAGATATACTTACTTGCTTTAGGTAAACGATATTCTCCCTTTTAGACTGAGGTATGTTATAGCACTATATACTGAATATTAAAATATTTCCATACCTGCACAGGTAGATATCCTTTCAATTAGATTAAAACCCCAATGGCTATCTTTTCTCCTCTTGTTATAAAGTATTCACCCCATATGCTGATTGCGATAATTTCGACTAACCCCAACCTGTACTAATCAAATGGGATCCCGGGCTACCGCTTGTGGGGCTACCATTCCTGTCACAGTAAACATACGAATCATGTGGTTTTTTGTTCCGATATAAATAAGAACGATTTGAAGACATCGTGCTGCTTTAAAAATATATTTCTCTACTTGTGTTATGTTACATTGATACTGCGCATTGAAAAAGAGAATACAATAGTGCATCATTCACAGAAAAGAATAAAACAATGGGGACTAGGAGGTAATATTAAGGTAATATTAAGGCAGTGTTTTATCAGTGGTTTAACCATTATTTATGTAGAGCTCCAGTCGCTTCTAACATGGCCTGTAGTTCACGCTCTGTGCTTCATGACCTAAAAAATGTATGGAGTCTTCATTAGCGTCTCTTCGCTATATTTTTATTTTGGCGAAGCATTTTATCTTAGGCCATTATCAATAAATGATTGATTGAAACATATATTTGCGTTTGGCCACACTTTACAGAGACGTAAAATGTGTCGCTGTGCTGACATTACCGACACTTGTGGATGGAGTTGCACCACTTAGACCGTTCTCTACGCTTCCGCTAAGTTCGTGGAAATCTTCCTTATTGGCTTTGTGCTGGTCCCATATTCCCTTTACCTCCTGTATGAGAGGAACGCTGATGATAAATGTTGCAGCGATTAACGACCAACCCTGAGAGAGATAGGTCCACCCTGCAAACAGCTCCTTGCTCAGGACCCGAAGCGCCGCCATTATTCCCGGCCACACGATAACAAGGACGACAGTGAGGATGACGCCAGCTGAATACGCCGTGATTTTCGCAGGTCGAAACATCTTCAAAAATTCCCCGTGAGAAGGTCGAGCGTCCTTGTTTTCCCTTGGCAGATGCCTATAAAGGTGGACCCAGGGATTGAGCGGGTTGTCGATATTACGAGTTTTCTCCCATTCTGCGATGACATCTTCCTTTGAGACTCGTCTATTGGTCAGAAGGGCTACAATGATGCAGGTAATGCCGCCCGAGCCAATGGAGACGCAGTTCCCGACTAGCATGCTGTCCTCTTTGCCGGTGTTGATGATGAAGTTGGCCAGTCCTCCCTCGTGTTGTGAGGATGTTATAAGCCAAGAGGTAATGCCAAGAACACATCCGACAACAGCGCCTGAAAGTCATCAGTATAACGATAAGCAATGAAATCATTGACTCCAATGGCTGACGACCACTTGTTAGTTTTGGGACTGCGTTGAACAAAATGGAAAAATATATTTTAATTGCCTTAGCGTTACTACTAAATGGCTTTGATTTGACTTTCTGACAATAAATAATAAGTATACACCTTGTAGCATTTTCAAGTTTACTGTATATTTTACCTGATATCATTCCTGCAGCATTCATCCTAGACCACGTGATAGCCAGACTGATTGGTATAACGACGGAACCAATCAGTACGCCGGTGAACAGGAAAACCCAGCTGAGGTTCAACTGGACGCCGTCACAGAACAGAATCCATGGAATCGTGAACGCAGAAACCCAAAGAATACACCAATTTTTGTAGTTCAGCAGTTGGGCCAAGTATTCTCGATACATCCCATGGACTGGACACTTGTTGTATGGTTTGACTCCCAGCTCGTGCTTGCTGCGTGCCGCAAGGGCGTCTTGTTGACAGATTTTACACAGGTTGACAGGAATGCAGGAACACTCGTTAATCCTGTGCTTTCCACATAACATACAGTTTTCAGCAGGAAGATTTTTTCTGGAAATGTGTTCAGAATAACATTTTTTTCAAATATTTGCAGAGTTTGGACAATCAATATTATGCATGCAAGTCACTTCAACTTTGTACTGCATTTGCCAAAATTTCATAACTCATTTAAATAAGGTTAAAACCTTATTTAATCATTTAATTTAATCATTTTAAATTAACTGATGATTATTCAAAAGTAATTCATTTTTTGGAACCACATTTTCCATATATCAAGTACTTTTATTCACTACCATTTGGATAATTTTACAACTACATGTACATGTGCAGCGAAGGTCTTTGCGTATATATACTAGATTTAGAAAATAAAACAGTCCAGTGCGTCTAACCTGAATGGGTTGATGTACGTCTTGTAAATATCGTAGATAATCAGAGATGCTACAGCGATGACTTCTGCGGAACCCGTGGACATCACCGCCATTAGAATGAGCAGCAAGATGATGTATTCTCCAGAGGTGCCGAGAAGCTTTTGAGCCACAAGGGGCGGAACGAGGCCTAAAAAGACAAGTTTTCTACATGTACGTTGGCTTGACAATTGGGAGATATATTTTCACTTAAACCAGCATTCGAGGCATCCTTCTTAAATTTTTTAAGCATTACACTCCAATCTCAGTAACTTTTTCTAATCAAAAGAACACGTTTTATTTTCTATGTTAAAGAAAAATGCACAAGTCAGTCTTTCTTTTTTTTCCCTATTTTCCCTTTTAACCCACCTTTGTCCACTTCTGTTGGTGAGAGCATCGTTTGACCGGACTCGGCAGCTAAGGCCAGGTAGGCAAGCCCCATGGTTGTCGCCATGGTCAAAGGTATCGCAAACCAAGTCAACCCTCCAGAAATAAATCCCCAGACTCCCTGAAGAGGCTTTGCTGCAATACTGCTCTGCCAGTAGGCCTGGTCGCAGAAGACTGTGCCAAAATTCCCGACGATATTAATTACACCAAACATAAGTCCACCGCTTGAGAAAAATGTCAAATAACTTCCTTCCGCGTTTCCCGGTGGCCCATTGATACAACTTAATAAATCGTACATCTTTGACGCACTTCCAATTGGGTTTTTCTCATTGCCGTACGGATTGTAATACACTTCCACAACAAGGATTAACACCAATGAAAAGATGAGTGTTGTGTTGAAGTAGGACACGTAGAACGTTGCTCCCAATCCACCAATAAGAGTGTACCCTCCAACGATCACCGCCATGATCATACAGGCCATCTCCATGTTGAGGCCTTGAACTAAACTGGTCAGGACTGCAGTGCCAGACAGCAACAAGGACGCCATAATAACTAGATTGGTTAAACAAGCAAATACGCAGTATGTTATGTGCGTGGCCTTTCCAAATCGAACCTTGATAACCTGTAAACAGAAAAGAATATTCAATTTAAAGTAACTAGTCATCAGATTTTCGACATAGTTTCATTGATGTGTCCATAATTACCCATTTAGTTACCAAGTGTTATTTTTTAAAGAAAATGTTTGGTCGTGTAAAACGTGACTTACCTGTAAGAATGTTTTCGCGCCCGGAGCTTTCGTTTTCAGTTCAATAGAGAGGATGGCGAAGAGAACGATTTGGATTGTAGCTCCAGCTGCATACCAAAATGGTCCGCTGATACCATACTGAAAACCATAAGATGCAAAATAATAATAATAATAGTAAAACATTATAATTCTCGTGCACTAAGGGTAAACTTAATGTTTATCATACTCACGTAATGATACAAAACGTCGTCTTCAGCACGCAGTGAACGCAGTTCCTTGGCGTTTTTAATGCTGATATTACACAGTTAACGTTTTCGTTTTTTAAGTGATGGTTTTGAAGATGGCTTCCAGTAATAAAGTTTAACAAATTAAGTTTTATCATCATTATATTTTGTAATCAAATATTAAAAATATTTTTACCTTGCTGGCTACAGTAGCTGACTGTAGAAGGGTAGTAGACCAGGTCCATTGCGAGACGATAGTTGTAGCAGTAAGTCCAATAGAAACCTGCGATAAAAGATATAAGGTTTTTCCTATATGCGAGATTTTATCCTTTAATGGTTTAATGTTTTTGTATCTAAAGTAGTCTGGATCTTTGCAGCTGTGAGATAATCCCCTTACCTACTTGCACGGTTTCCTAATAACATAGGGCTATTTTTTCCATGTAAAATATGTTTAGTTCGCATTCAAGTTTCTAGATTTAAAAAAAATAAATTAATAAGGCATTTGATAGTGATTATATTCAAAACTGTCGGGCTTTCAATCTGGACTATAACTTACAAACGTTATACAACAGCGGTGTTTTTAACTATTGTGAATCACGTAAACAATAGATTATTTAATATAATTTTTCAAACGTTTTATATCTGACAGCAAGGTTATCAAATAAATGCGACTTACATTTCCACCTGCGTCGAATGCTGTATCTAGGTTATCTGCATCGTGGTATACATATTTCCTCACAAGGTTAAACGCCATGGCAACAAGGACTGCGAATAATCCAAATCCTAGGATGAGCCCCACTGCCTTGCCAAGTTCCACCGTGGGTACAATACCTTGACTTTTAAACAGATATTCAAAGATAAATATTAATATGAATATATAGCACTGGGGAGATTTGGTGAAAACAGTCGTCCAAAATATATGAGAAATGAACACGATTTTTAACAGATAAAAATAAAATAGAAAAATCATCAAATAAAATGAATGTATCACATTTGAGCGGTAGCGGAGGGTTTAACGAGGACATACGTTACTGACTTTATGTGCGGCTGAGTACGATGAAGTGATGCAATAATTACTCTAGTAGCGTATAATTTTACAACGTACCTTACTGTACCGTTGATGGTGGCGTTTACACCACACCTAGCGAATGGGTTGCTGCCGTAGAGCTGGGCTTCCCCTGGCTTCAGGCTGGCAAACACCACAATCACGCCCAGTAAAACGCAGCTGGGTAGACGTAAACCCATTTCCTTGGATAGTAAACTGCGAAAAAAAATTCGAATGGATAAGAAAATACTCTCGATAATACAATGAAAATCCATTTGATACTTCTGAGTTTACAATATTTGGTTGTTTTTGTTTTTTTTTACTTTACGGCACAGTCACAAAATTGGCGCTTAACGATAAATGATGGATAATTATTTTTATACAGTCTGACAGTACTTAAAATTAACTTCCCATTTGCATATTAATAAATTTATAAAGAAATGAACAAAAACAACAGTGCCATGTACATATTTCACAATGTAAAGCATGCTCTCTTATCTTCTATCAGTACAATTTATGTTATTTATGTTATTGCACTTGTTTTATTTAAATCTCCTTCCTTCATTTCATGATAATTCTATCAATTTCCTATATTCAAGTCGCGTCTAACAATAAGACAACTTATTTGGTTCTATAATGTTTCATGATGAACAGCTCGTCTGTCTATATCCCCCTCTACCTCGAATCCTCACGTCTTAGCAAACATAATTACTAATGAAAATATTCATTCAAGTATATTTTTTTGCGACTGACCAGAAAACCCATCACTTCTCATTTTTACAATCCATAGATTCCATTGTTTAAGTTGCCCTCTTCAGCCTTCTCCTCCACATCTTGACAATCTCTGTAAACGGCCAGTCTCAGTTCAAAACCAATCTGCACTACCTAAAATTCCCCAACTCGATTTCCGGTGACTATTCCCTTTGAAACCTGCTTGGAAGCTAGGATCCAATATAATGTTATGTTGGATTCTAGCTGGAACTTATTGAATCTACCGCTTATGTGTGTACACTTCGTTTCTTTCCGTCATTTTTTAACCGCAAATTTACCCAACATTATGCATGATCATGTGGATTTTTTGGGGACATCAATTGCTTATTTTCGTTTAGAACAGTTGCATTGATTATTCAATTTAACTTCTTATGTTCACACATTATCTCTATTTGCCTATTTTAAATCCATTTCTTCGTTCGTTTTTTTTCCTGTGTTAATACGAGGCGTAAATGACAGTACAATAATTCAAGACAAAACAATTATATAAATAAAGTTATAGTTATAGATGTTCAACAAATACAAAAAAATCCCAGAGGGTGGTTTTCGTATCCTATTTACATTGGTCAACAGAGTTGTTGACAGGTCAACCAGACCACCCCGCACCGCCGCAATCTCCCAGTTAAAGACTGACCACGCCACGTACCGCCTCTTTTGACCGTGATTAATGCTAAAGGTCAATATCATCCAATGCTTAATCGAGTTAACGGTGCTATACTCGTAGCTGGCTTGACAAAGTAAACAACATCCCTATTCACCCAATCTGGTCATAGGTGTAAGGCCTATTGTTTTTCTAAACCTCTCTATAACAGCCATGATACAGTGAAATGGATCACATATACCTACATGCACTTATCCTTTGGTTTCCGCTCCTTCTCTTCGCTACTGGTCCTTTATATAAGTGTGGTTGTAGGTTATAGGATGTAAATACAAAAAAAAGTTTCAAAACACGAAATACCGGTTACGTAGGATGGATTCTGCAGTCAAAAGTTAAAAAGAGAAGAGATAACAGTTGAATAGGGAACCGGATTACGGTGCCAGAGGAAAACCACAACATCCTACATGAAAAGTCAGCAGTCAATGGAAGAGTTGTTTACATTTGATTGTACAGCAAAATATTCAAGAGCTGTAAATATTTGAACAGAACAGGGCATACATGCACCCTGAAGGGTTCTAGACAACCCCAACATTTAGTAAAAATGTCATCACTGTTTAGTCCCCCTGACAACTATTTCAGATTCTTCAATCAACAGATAATTTACTATTGTTCTCCTGTGGTTAATAATTAGATTTTTCCATCATCTCGCCTCTTTCGGGTAGTGAGACAACTATTGGTATAGCATTACCGACAATTATCAAAATATCTAAAAGCTAGCGAACCGGTGTTTAATTGTTAATGCATTACTAATGAACCAAAGAAAGGTCCCATAGGCCATTCAGATTACTAGTGCGTGAGCATCAATAGAAATGATGGGGTCTTTCGCTAACTGCAGGAGTATTGACCAAATGCAAGCACTGTTCATCTTAGCTGCCACCTCAGGTGGTGGCGATGACAAGACCTGTGTTCTTATTCCATAAGGACAGTGACCTGACAGAACTTAAATATCGGAGAACGAACAATAACCCTGATTTTAGCTGTAGTAGATAGAAGAGAGGACGACAGTGACATGAACAGCAAGATTTGTCATCAGCACGCCTGAAATCACCTCTGCCACGCGAGGAAAGTTTATCATGATTGATTATTAAAAAGGGGGTTGAAAAAGAGATAAGATGAAAAACATCCTAGGTGGGTCTTAAACCTCTTCCCAACAGTCGGTCTTATCAGTGACGAATTTGGATGAATAACATATGAGGCAAGTGTTTCACCTGCTTCAGCCTACGCATGTAAGGACATCCATTGCCCTCATGATGTCGGACGCCCTGTAGGATGCGTAAGTCGGCGCTCCGTCCACGACAGGGCTTTCTTTGACATCGTATACCGTCAAAACACCAACACATTTTTATCAATGATTTAAGACATTAAATACTTGATTTAGTCGTATATTGGAGGGAACCATGGGTTCTAGAAATTCTAAATTGTTCATTACACGACGTCCTGCTTGATTTAGACAGGGAATTATATGGCTGCCTGAACACAGTGGGGAGGGAACGGTGACACGGTATGGCAATTGAGTAATAACCCAAATGTTTCACCATTCAAATACGTATCAGGTGCAAACGGGTCACATTCTAGCTTATATTATTTCAATCTTTGTTATAGTTACCGTGGAGATCAAATCTTCCTCTCGACTCCCTCCCCCCGCCGCCCTGCCCCGTCCTACGTGTGTCTTTGGAAAACACAGTACATGCAAGTGAAACTCACAGCTATCAAAAATGAAGCACGCGAGGACTCTTCTTTTAAACACCAACTAGATAGTATTAAATAAAGTGTACGTCGATACAGCGGATACATACATACATATGCTTACCATATCTTCAGGTTCAGCGCCAATCACATCTTAAAACACATACGACAACTTACCATAAACAATCCCTTCAACTAAAATGCCCCAAACACGGAGAGCTTCTCTGTGAGGAATGTCCACCAAGACGCGGCATGCAAGTACACCGGCGCCCGCTGGCTACAATGCTCTCTGCCTGGGAGATTACGCGACACCTCGTGCATGCGTACAGGTTTAAAATGACGATGCTTGGATACCTGTTGACAGTGATGGAGGAGGCAGGACTTGGGGGAGGGGGGGGGGGCTCAACTCGATTTCTTGGGAGCACACCGAGGTCGAGGTCTGCTGAAAGTTAGCTTACTGTTGCTTTCAGGGTATTTGGCAGTGGTTATTATAGGAAACCATTCAGTTGTTCAGAATGCATTGTGAAGCCTTTGTCACAGATCTCGATAGCGTTATATCAAGACAAACTAGGACACGTTGTTAACTTGGGGCTATAAGTGACGCAAAGGTAAACAGGTAATTTGGTTAGTAGTCAGGTGACAAGTTTTTCGATTTTCTTTTTACCGTATTGAGTGAGTGCATGTACTGAGCGAATGAAAGTGTGTGTGTAGCGCCTGTACACGTGTGTGTTCACTTGTCTTTTTGTGAGTTTGAAATATCAGCATAGATTGTATTTTTGGACAACCTTTATTGATGTCACTGATGTCCAAAGGCACGTCATATTATCTGCTTACCCCCACCCATAAAGTGACATTTAATTGAAATGAAAATAAAAGTAATGCATTTAACTGTGTAGCTTTTAGTCTTCAAAATGTTTTTTTTACATTTAATTAGTCGTTTGTAACTCAATAGAAGGGTGTTCATTTGGTACTAAAATTACCTCATGGACCCTAGGAACAGTCAGAAATCTTTCTTTTTCGCTCTTTTACATATTCAGCCTCTTTTTAATGCGTTGAATGGAGCCCTTTGACAAGATCTGAGTTTGGAGGATCCTCTGGAAATTACACCCCATTCTCATAGATTAGATCGNAACGATCTCGATAGCGTTATATCAAGACAAACTAGGGCACGTTGTTAACTTGGGGCTATAAGTGACGCAAAGGTAAACAGGTAATTTGTTTAGTAGTCAGGTGACAAGTTTTTCGATTTTCTTTTTACCGTATTGAGTGAGTGCATGTACTGAGCGAATGAAAGTGTGTGTGTAGCGCCTGTACACGTGTGTGTTCACTTGTCTTTTTGTGAGTTTGAAGTATCAGCATAGATTCTATTTTTGGACAACCTTTATTGATGTCACTGATGTCCAAAGGCACGTCATATTATCTGCTTACCCCCACCCATAAAGTGACATTTAATTGAAATGAAAATAAAAGTAATGCATTTAACTGTGTAGCTTTTTGTCTTCAAAATGTTTTTTTTTAGATTTAATTAGTCGTTTGTAACTCAATAGAAGGATGTTCATTTGGTACTAAAATTACCTCATGGACCCTACGAACAGTCAGAAATTCTTTCTTTTTCGCTCTTTTACATATTCAGCCTCTTTTTTAATACGTTGAATGGAGTTACATATGTGCACTTCGTTGTTTCAGGATGTGAAGCAGGGCCCCGCTACTATATTATAGAAATTATAGAGCAGGAAATGCTGCAGAGTATTTTTTCTTTATTGGGAAGAGGATCTTGTTTTGGGTAATGCCCCCTCCCTGCCTTTGGCAAGAGCTGAGTTTGGAGGAACCTCTGGAAATTCGATGCAGCCTAGTGAAAGTACCCCGCACACGGTGACACTTGCGCGCGCTCCTCAGCTCCCCGCAAACGATGCGCTCTTTGCTCAGCAGAGGTACCTCCTGGCCTGCCCCTATCGGACGCACCGCGAACTGTGGGATCATGTGATTAAGGAAACATTAAGTCTTCAAATTAATTCATGACCCAATCCTCACACATAAAACCGTTTTATTCAGTTTATTCATGTGCCGTAACTTCCAACACCACAATAAACTGCTACATGACATTCAACAAGAAAGTAGGTAATGGTAGCACAGTCTTACATTCAGCCATAACACCTGTGTAATACACATGTCTACATGTAATGAGTGACATTACTTCAAGCACCTTGTGGAAACCTGTCTGCGAGTACAGTGAAAATGAGGACCGAGTCTGACCATGCATTCTCACAGGGTTTTGACCCTACCGGTACAAACTAAATATTCAGGTACATCCCCCCCTGACGTCCATACACACGGTTTCAACTTCTTCTACACAGTTTTTCGATTTTACTTAATTCTTCCATAAATGGCAATGTTTTACAACGTTCAGCAAGATAACTTTGGATAAACAGCGTTTTAATGTTTTGTAGGTATGAAGGGAATTGCGATGAAATCTGCTCTTTCATGTTACAAGTAACTTTAATCTGTTGGCTGGAGAGCAAGCAAACAATGAGGTCAAAGTGTTTCATATAATAATAATAATAATAATAATAATAATAATAATAATAATAATAATAACAGCAACAATAATGATAATTGTAATAATAATAATATGATTCTTTCCTGTACACCCAGTAAAAATTACTTCGCGCACTTATTCTAATTAAGACGATTGAAAGCTATATTCAGATAGCTTGGAGTATAATATACAATATTATCCGGTAGACGACCGGCTAAGACCCGGATTGTCAATGCCATTTACGTCAGATAGATTTAATTTTATTATACAAGGTAAATAAATGTTTTTTAGTTTTCGTTATTCATGATAATCTATAATAGTGAACCAGGGTTGTAAGTTGCCTCCCACAATTTCATGGTCTTAACTCTCTTTACTGAATATGAGCAATACGTGAACCCCCCCCCTTTTTTAATGGGATTCGTTTTGTTGAAAACAAGTTTTGAAGTCGATTTTTAGATTACATTCTAAAAGATTTATCTCATCTCTGAGACTTGTGATTTAGTGATAGAATTTTCATATCAATATGCAGGAATGAATATGTAATTCAAGTAGTAGTCCCTGTGATCATATACGACGTCATGATCAACCATTTCTCAAATTAGCGCAGCAGCGAGCATATTTGTAGGCGGAAACAGACTTAACGTGAAGGATTCGACAAAAAACATTATTCCAGAGTAACCCTTACCGCTATTTCGAGTGTTTCGAGACCAAAACGGAGGTAAATCCTGATTTTCTCGATCGAACCTTACCTAACCGTTTTTTTTTTTTTTTTTTTTTTTTTTTTTTTTTAAATGTTTTTATGTTAATTTGGAAATAAGAATATGTAAAATTTAAATGACATATGGCAATTGCAGAATATACGGGTTATGTGGTTGCGGTGATAATAACCAAACTGCGTTAGTAAATGCAAACAGATATCTTATCCTTTTTTATTATTTCTGTGCAAACATTTTTTGTAATACCTAATTAAATACGTGATTTAAGGGGAATCAGTTTGATACAGATGACAAACTCCCACACTTCCAATTCTCTTTATTATCCCTGTATTATCATATCGCACGCAAAACGGCATACAAAATACTCATGTCTTAAACACGTGTAGTATCGAAAATATTGTTAAAAAGACGTAAGATTTTATTGCCCATTCAAATTGAGTTCTATTATGAGATATATTTTTGTTGACTGGTCATTCAAAATGGATTCCGTTGCGAGATTTGATTAAACTATAAAAATTGGAGAAAACATTTAAGGGATATGATAACTATGACTTTAATTGTAAGCATATACAAAATGTTCGTTAGATTCCCAAAATGTTAGTTAGATTCAAGACTCCCAAGTAGACAATATGTTTTGTGCGTTACACTAAGTTTACCGTATTTAGCACAGAACTTTAGTGTCTGTTTTTTTCTTATCAATCGCACCAATTCACAAAGGCCCGTCACCGTAAATTCTTCATCAAAACAGATGTTTGTCTTAGTTTTACAGAGATGCATTCTGCAATTTTTTTTTATTAAAATACACTTTCGTTTTCATTTGGTCTTATGGCACGAAGACCGTTCTCTACGTTCCCGTTGGTGGCGTTTGCATCTCTCTTATTGGCCTTGTGTTGTGCCCATATCCCTTTCACTTCCTGCACAAGAGGGACGACGATGATAAAGGTGGCAGCGATTAACGACCAACCCTGAGAGAGATAGGTCCACCCTGCAAACAGCTCCTTGCTCAGGACCCGAAGCGCTGCCATTATCCCCGGCCAGATGATCACGAGGACTACAGTGAGGATGACGCCGGTTGAATACGCCGTGATTTTCGCCGGTCGGAACATCTTAAGAAATTCATCGTGAGATGGCCGATCTCCTTTGCTGCGCCTTGGTATATGTTTGTACAAATGGATCCAGGGATTGAGCGGGTTGTCGATATTACGAGTTTTCTCCCATTCTGCGATGATGTCTGCTTTTGTGACCCGTCTGTTTGTCAGGAAAGCGACAATGATGCAGGTAATGCCGCCAGAGCTGATGGAGACGCAATTTCCTACTAGCATGCTGTCCTCTTTGCCGGTGTTGACGATGAAGTTGCCCAGTCCTCCCTCGTGATACGAAGCAGTTACCAGCCAAGAGGTAATGCCAAGAACACAGCCGACAATAGCACCTGAAGGTTATTAAAATTACGCAAACCAATGAAACCACAACCTCCTGTAGAGCACATCATGTCAAATGACGCATGACGAATCTTTCGATCATGTTGCGATTAATCGCGCAAATACCTGGTTACTAAAATTCATACCACCACCAAACGGATTCATGTGACGTCTTGCACATCCTTATAATTATTACGAGAGTTTTTCTCTGTTTTTTGGTGAAAATTATGAAAAATACACACATCTAGATGCATTTTAAAGTCAATGTTCTTTTTACCTGATATCATTCCTGCAGCATTCATCCTAGACCACGTGATAGCCAGACTGATTGGTATAACGACGGAACCAATCAGTACGCCGGTGAACAGGAAAACCCAGCTGAGGTTCAACTGGACGCCGTCACAGAACAGTATCCATGGGATAGTGATGGCCGAAACCCAAAGAATACACCAATTTTTGTAGTTCAGCAGTTGGGCCAAGTACTCCCGATACATCCCATGGACTGGACACTTGTTGTATGGTTTGACTCCCAGCTCGTGCTTGCTGCGTGCTGCCTCGGCGTCTTCGTGACACATCTTACACAGGTTGACAGGAATGCAGGTGCACTCGTTGACCCTGTGCTTTCCACACAGCATACAGTGATCGTCGGGCAAGTCTTTTCTGGAAATTTGTTCAAAACGCCGGGTAGTTATCTTGTTTGAACTATACTTTATATTGCACGTACATTACATTTATCGAGAATGTGCTTGCATTTCTTTTATCTAAAAAACAGGTTAATTAAACTGAATTAAACTGATAACAATCTTAAGCTACTTCATTGCTATGTTTTACAATTTTTTTTTAAACAATTAATTTGATTCACCTCATGACCACCAAAATGGCATTTATACATGCATACTACTTGAGGGTCAGCTAGCCACCATTTTTGAATGTGTTTAGATTAAAATTTGGTGTGTAAAAAAAGAGGAAAGAAAACACAGTACAAGCATTGTCTAACCTGAATGGATTAATATACATCTTGTAGATATCGTAGATAATCAGAGATGCTACAGCGATGACTTCTGCGGAACCCGTGGACATCACCGCCATCAGAATGAGCAGTAAGATAACGTACTCTCCAGAGGTGCCGAGAAGCTTTTGGGCTACAAGGGGCGGAACCAGGCCTAAAAAGACATGCCTGTGTTATTGGACAGAGTATATTGAGCATTTGTGTTTCATGATAATCAAAGACATAATTGCACATAAACTGCACGTAGTTTAAGGCCGCCCTTCCTGGTTTTCTGAAATATGATGAGATTAAATGTACCTTCTCAATTACTAGATATTGTCAAGTTTGATGTTTTTCTATCATTGTCCATGGCTGTTGCTTAACTTTGATATAAAAAGAAAAGTACAATACGCGTTTTCATTTTAAATAATGATTGTGCTTATTTATGACCAATTCAAACAGAATTTCACAATGCTTTGCACAAAAAAAACCCTCGGCGTACCTTTGTCCACTTCTATTGGCGACAGCAAGGTGTGGCCGGACTCGGCAGCTAAGGCCAGATAAGCAAGCCCCATGGTTGTCGCCATGGTCAATGGTATCGCAAACCAAGTCAACCCTCCAGAAATAAATCCCCAGACTCCCTGAAGAGGCTTGGCTGCAATACTGCTCTGCCAGTAGGCCTGGTCGCAGAAGACTGTGCCAAAATTCCCGACGATATTAATCACGCCAAACATAAGTCCACCGCTTGAGAAAAAAGTCAAATAACTTCCCTCGGCGTTTCCCGGCGGCCCATTAATACAGCTCAGCCATTCATACATCTTTGAAGGGCTTCCGATTGGGTTTTTCTCATTGCCGTACGGATTGTAATACACTTCCACAACGAGGATTAATACTAATGAAAAGATGAGTGTTGTGTTGAAGTAGGACACGTAGAACGTTGCTCCCAGTCCACCAATGAGCGTGTATCCTCCTACTATCAATGCCATGATCATACAGGCCATCTCCATGTTGAGGCCTTGAACTAAACTGGTGAGGACTGCAGTGCCAGACAGCAATAAAGAGGCAGTTACGACCAGATTGGTAAAGCAAGCAAATACACAGTATGTAATATGTGTAGCCTTACCAAAACGAGCTTTGATGACCTGTTGATGAAAAAATTGCATTATGTGATCATTCATTATAAGTTATTAAGTACGCAGTATACTTGTTAAATATATATCTGGCCTTTTTGACTTTGTCCTCTTAAACTTATGAGCTACATGTACAGTATGTTCCAGTGGACACTTGCACGCGCTTTACCTGTAGGAATGTTTTAGCACCAGGAGCTTTCGTTTTGAGTTCGATAGAGAGGATGGCGAAAAGAATGATTTGGATTGTAGCACCCGCAGCATACCAGAATGGTCCGCTGATACCATACTGAAAAACACAGCAATGTAAAAGAAATAACCATTGACTCATCATTATCTCGTAAACAAAGCCATGTTGTTTTTCTCGTCATAGTTGCCTAAACAATTTTGCCAACTTCCAAGTAAGGGAATCGGCACTTGAAGTATGTTGAAAGCATAGGCTTGATGTTCCACGGAAACCCTTTATTATTTTTTTTTACTTTTTAACCGTTTTTTTAAATAATTTTACAGGTTTTCCAATACTAAGTTTGCTTTGCTTTGCTTTGCTTATGTAATGCACTTTGTGATTCTTCGTGTACTCATAACCATAGTTACCTTGCTGGCTACAGTAGCTGACTGTAGAAGTGTAGTAGACCAGGTCCATTGCGAGACGATAGTCGTGGCAGTAAGTCCAATGGAAACCTGCAATTAAAGATATTGAACAGGTACTTTGCACCAACGACAGTTCCGAGATCTTTCTAAAGGTTCTGTAGTTTAGGCCAGCGACAAGAGAGATTCCTTTACCCCTAGCCTTAAGTTATATATTTTAATCAAGTTTCTTGATATATAATGTACCTGTATAAGAAGTGATGCTGGACATAAAAATTCTCGATCGCGATACAATTTAATCTCGTACAATGCTAAAACTTGGTCAGTCTGGTTTAAATTGCTATCTTAAACTCCATAAAACTTACCTCAAAATTATATGTTGAATCAAAGGCGTAAATATCGTGAATGGCACAAAGGGGTTTGCCTAATTAAGTCATTTTAGTTCCCAAAATAGACAAAAAAGATAAAAATACAGCTTATCCAAAAATTGAGACTCACTTTTCCACCTGCGTCGAAGGCCGTGTCTAAATTATCTGCATCGTGGTATACATATTTTCTCACAAGATTAAACGCCATGGCAACAAGGACTGCGAATAACCCGAATCCTAGGATGAGCCCCACTGCCTTGCCAAGTTCCACCGTGGGAACAATACCTTGGCTGTGAGACGGAAATTACAACGTACATATATGTGTACATAATGTAGTTTTATGTTATAATTGGCATTGGAGAGTTCTGATGAAAACAATCTATCAATTAGTCAGATTCTCATAAAAGAGGAAAAAAACTTAGAAATCACTGTCACATAGCAATTATTACCAATTGATAAATGAAAAAATACAGATCAATTAATGAACAAACGTGCTATTAACGTTAGTCCTTCGTGTCATGAATTCAATCTGTTTTAAAACTATAATTTAACCTGAAATAGTTTTTAACTAAAATCCAGAGCTATTACCTTATTGTCCCATTAAAAGTGGTGTTAATGTTACACTCAGCGAATGGGTTACTGCCGTAGAGCTCAGCGCCCCCTGGCGTAAAGAAGATGGACACCACTGTCACGCCCAGCAGAACGCTGCTGACCAGACGCAAACACATTTCTATGGCTGGTACTCTGCAATAGATCAACATTTTGTCATATGTTGACTTTGCGTGAATGAGATGACGTAATTTCGGGAACATTTTATTACTGGTAAATGATAACAGAGTACTGTGAATTTTAAATAATAAAGAAATCCAACAAAAATAAAATAAAAATGATATCCTGATTTTGTGACTCAATTAGAACTGACGTGTTTCCTGACAGTACTTCGATAGATGAATATCATATGTGACAATTTGCACACACAGTGTAGATGCACATCAATACTACGCTTAGTTCATAGTAAACAAAAACAGTGAATTTGTAATACAATCCCGGTCAGTTAAACTGAATCACGAAATGCAGCAGCGTCTCTGTGCACAACAGCGTTACTCAAAAATGTATCAGGTATTAAGCAATTTATATTCCAATATTGTGATAATAAATTTTGACAAGCAATGTCGGTAATATAAACAAACCAGTAAAACAGTTAAATTTAACATTCACAACTTGACCCCTTTCACTCTTATGCATTAACCTCGAGAGTTGTCCTATAGATAGATATAATCCTTAACAAATAAACATTAAAACTATAATTTTATGATTTTTTAATTCTAACCCTTTACATTTTGGAAAAGTACTCGTGTAGATATTTTACTGAGCATTTTTCCATCTGAACAAGTTTAGTTCAAACAATGTGGCACGCTCAGAACAAAGAGCTAGGGAGTAATAATCTTTTTCTTAAAAATATACCTTTAAAATTAAAATAAAATATAAAATATGTTTACCTCGGTTGCCTGATATTGTTGTCTATCCTGACTTTGTAAATGTAACCTTAGATGGACACTTTCGACTTCAAAATTAACGGATTATTTGAAAAGGGTTGGAATTGCCTCTACTCTTTAATTTGAAGCCTTGACAAGAGATTGATTATTTTTTAATGACCACTTAAATTGGGTCAAGTTCTAGTGGTCAGCTGGTCACTGGCTGGTGCACACATGTACTCAGATTGGCAAGCCTGTGGTCATTTCCGAGGTAAATTGAAACGATACAATATACTGAAGTGATGCTTTCCATTCCTATCAATGTAGCTTGAGTACATAGTATTTATATATCACAATGGAATTGCAGTTATTATATTTGAAGTTTTCAAAAATATTTCCACTAATATTTCTTCCAAACTACCGTATGACTTGATATTTGTTGGCAACATAAATATCGATTAAAAATTTTGATAGAGAAAAAAGAACTGACCCCAGACAGTTTTGTCTTTGAGAGGGATATCAATAGCGTCACTGAGTGCAATGCCAAGATCAGCACTGCTGAGACGATTTACCCCCGTGGATGTTATCATGATGTTACATCACCAACCATAATATAATGGCAATAACTTTCAGAGGACAGTTATGGCAGTGATTTTCATGGATCTTCTTCAGTTGAAGTCTCGATGGTTTTTATTTGGAGATGGTGCATCAGACTCAAAATAGTTTAGCAAAACACAATTCAGCCACAATTAAAAGTCCTAAATCCAAGATGCCCGCAATAAAAATAAGCATTCCACAATATGGTCAAATGGCAGGAACTGCATGTCTTCTGTACATGATAAAAAATCACTTTTTGTTCATTTTGCAATAACAATTAGGTTAGTAGTAATAGCAGTTAAACTCATTTAATGGAGGTAATGAAGGATTTATGTATAAACTTTCTCTAAAAAGTTTGAAATAGTTACTTGGCTTCATATTCAATAAGTTAATCTATCAGCAGATCCCACGCCAACAGATCACCTTTAAGCGATTGAATGAAAATTCCGTATGGCGGAATGAATTTTTTAAAATTTCATTTAGTGGTTTCGACGCTTGGTCCTGGCAGACGCAATTCTACCGAGTTAAAGCAAGGGCTGCATTCACGAACGTCTGCGTTGGTCCAAATCTGGCATTACTACCACAATTGAAACACCCAGGCACATCGGTCTACTTCCTTTATTTTCCTCTTCACTGCCATTATATTAATAACGATTTTATGCATTAAAAGAAAACATACCTTTCACCAATGGTATTCATTTAACCAGGTAAAGTTATGGTTTCTAAAAATTGAAGTCAAAAAGTGCAATTTTCAAAAATAAAACTGGAGGGTGCTGCGATTTTTGTCCAGACAAAGAATCTGCCTATTAAATCACAGCCCTGACCAAGAGGATTCTAAAACCACTCCACGCTTGTGCAGGCAAGCACACTTGTCAAGAACAAATCTTTTTAACGTTACGCAAGAGGGCCAATTTGACATCCATTGTTATTTAACCCCCTCCCGTCCATTGTCATTAGACTCCGATACAAGAATTTTATTGCCTCCACCTTTGTCTCTGTTGGTTTGTACACTCTTGCCAAAAATGATGGAATATTCCAAAAGAAAGTTGCATCTACGATTTCAATAAGTTCAAACTAAGACAAAACATAGGGGAGACCCGGGGTTAGTTGACCCCCCCTCCCCACCCCCATCAATTCTCTTTAATAAAATCACTTTAAGATGCCAAATTATTTCATTTGAACTCACTGCCGACGCTTTCTTAGCACTATTGGATACGGTCACTTTACAAAATGATGTGATCAATTCTTTTACCCCATAGTTACTTTGTCATAAATTGATGGGGGCCAACTTACCCCGGGATCCAACTAGCCCTGGTCTCTCCTAATTTACAACCAGCTAATTGGTGTTTTATTATTATTATTATTATTATTATTATTATTATTATCATTATATGTTCAACGTTCAAATTGCAGTATTTTGGGAGATTTTATTTTTGTTTTGGTACATGCTGGTGCTCAAATATAAATTTCTTAAACTACACGTACATGTACCACTAATTTATAGAGAAAAGCAAATGTCATGTTCAAAATCGCAGTGAAAAAAAGCAATGAAAAAAGCCGTCACCAAGCACACCTTGGCCCAGATCACGAATCAGAAGCCTGCTTTTGACTGAACCTCTGAATGCTCGGGTTTTGTGCCTTTTTCGCCACGGTTCCTCAGAATAGATGCTGAATACACTACTGAATACACTTCTCATAGGGTATACGACCCTTCCAGCCTGTAATTTTACGGGGACGACAATTGCTTTGTGTGAGACTCACAGAGATTAAACATTCCTCTTGGGTCACATGGGGCTGCTTTATTGCTTTGTGTGATGCGAATGATTTAAAAGACAGCCTCTCTAGTGATTCCAACGCAAACAGCACCATCCTTTTGTTTTCGTAAATTGAACGATGTTTATTGGTCAATGCTACAACCAGTTATATCGAAAGTTTTTTGACAATAATCACGGAGAACTCTGATATCAAAATTATATCTCTCATTTCTAAAATTTTTCATTATTTTAGAAAGAGGGCAAGTTAACACGTCAGCTTAGCATTGCCTAGCTTATGGACGGGTCTTTGTAAAATTTACAGGATTGGTCAGAAATGGGCTAACTTTAGACCGTTTAGATTTTGGTTGGGATCCACTAATAAATTCATCATAAGAATTAAGTTGCCTGGGCAGAGGTCTTTGCTCCCTTGATGCTTTTCTGGTTGTCTTCATATTTTTACACAAAATTAAACACTCGTTTTTCTGTTCCTAATGTAAAACATGTAAAAGATATGCACTGTGTACTTAAACATGTAGTGTTCTTTCCTTTCTTTTGGTGGCGCGCATATTTGAGTACACCTCGTTCACCTGAAGTATTTCACCTCTCTCCTCTTACCTTCCAAAATTTTCAATGTTAATTGCGTTCTAAAATTCGTTTGAGATTATCTGTATTTATTTCGTAGGCTTTTCATGACCGAGAAAGCATTTGCTTGATTTATAACGTTATAGTTTGGCTTTGGGACATAAACCCTACACAAATCTCTGCACAAGGAAGTTACGGGAGGCAAAGTAGGCGACTGACGAAATATTAGCTTTGATTTACTTACATGCATCACTTCAGGCACTCTCCGACCTAGAGCATATTATGTACTTTCCGTGATTAGCATCGTATTTATTTCATTTTACTCATACTTGACTTTGTTATAACAAACAGCCCATTTGCTAAATTGTGAAACTAACAGCCTATCTGTTACATTTATATTCCGTGCTCAAATGGTTAAATATATCGACTGTAATATATAACACACATTCCGCTACCTATGTTTCTTATTCGCACTCTTCTTTCTGTGACCCGGTACATATTTGATGTGATTTATCATGCACAATCAACATATAATATTTCTGTTCGCGCTTTATTTTCTGTGGCTAGAAGCACAGTTGCTGTGATCTTCATGTAAAAATTTGTCAAATTTTAGGTTCGTACTCTACTGTACTTGAGTGCTACGTGAGATCACCCTTAGTATAACTCATTCGATACAATCCTTTATTATTTTTCATACAATACATTATGAACACATATTGACTAGTTAAAAGAGTTTACAGCACGCGTTTACTAATACTGTATTGCACATTTGTGTGTATATATGTGTGTGTGTGTGTGTGTGTGTGTGTGTGTGTGTGTGTGTGTAAGCGTAAAACAAATTCACTAAACAATGATAAAGCTACTCGCATTTTTAATCGCCCCCGACCCCCCCTTCATCAAAATTTAAATCTAATGATAACGGTACATTTCTACGTGTGGAATTCTACGATATAGCACGTGAAGACTTGAGGAGCATACCACGGATTTGCACATGTTACCGTATATATCACATCTTATCATATGTGCTTTTACATAAAAGTGATGATAATTTGACCGAATTTCGGCCGAGAAAAATCAATTTGTTAACCGAATGCTAATTTATATGGTTTATAAGGTTCGAAGCGCTAGTTTTAATTGCTTCGAGATTCAGGCTTTGTAAATCCTAATTGCCGTTTGTGACTGGAGTATCCGAAACAGCCATTCGAAGTAATCAGTGCCTGTACGAACTTGACTTTTCGTTGCCGTTCGTGATCATGAACCCCCATGATAACTTAAACTGCGATTTCATGGTTCTAATATATATATATATATATATATATATATATATATATATATATAACTACGAGCCAACAACACGTTATGATCTGCGAACAATTTGAATTTGCCAGGGTCTTTTGCTGTTTACATACGGGTTTTTTCCTTGACCAAGAATCAATTCAGAAGTTATCCGCTCTAAAAAAATCTCCGGTACATGCGAATGTGTGGTTGGGGGAGGGGGGAGACTTGCGGTTCGCAGTTTATAATGCGTTGTTCGCAGCAGTTAATTTTACAATCGGACCCGATACGCGGTTCAAAATCACAAACAGCTTTCTTGTTTTTAAGGCCTGTGATCCTAAGGAGAATGATCTGGTAATGTCCTTAGAATCTTCATAGCATGCCTGTTACAAAAATATGTGCATGTTTACCAGGGTACACCTGCAGTAAAACTAACCTTGAGCTTAATGCTTGGAATATAAGAAAAGATATAACAAATATAAAAAAGCCTATCCAACAGGGTACTAGTAAACAAAGCAGAGGAGGCAGTGTGAGGAGAACCGCCGAGGTCTACTTCTTGCCGTTACAGCACAGCTAACCTTTTATGGGCGCTTGAGTATAAATGATGGTCAAGCTATCCAATACACAGACGAATACAACTCCTTGAACTATCCTACCGCTGAAAATAGCCTGGCTGCCGTTTGGGATGGTGGTCAAATATGTAAAAAAAATCCAGATATATAACAAAGAAATAAATAAAATGATATCTGTGGTGGAGAACAAGTTTTTTATGTTATCAGTAGTGACCAAAATTATTCTTTATTTGTAATAAGTCCCGATGATAATGCAAATGCTGCGGGGTCTGTTCACATTGAAATCAATGCAGGACAAAACACGGTGCATGTTATTGCTGTCAAATGCCACGAAATATAAAATGTCGAGGCGCTGCTTTTGTGTGCGGCCACCATCTTTTCTTGCAGTATCGTTAGTGATTTGATTTTTATACGCATCAGATAAAGACGCTCAAACGAAAATTATAGGGTATCTGAAAAAAAATTATGACAAGTCCTATCCCCAAGTTTCCATACAGCTTCAGCTGTGGTGTAAAATCAGTCAGTAGAACCGATCGACCCTTACACTATTTTAAACCTCCCTCATCCCGAGTAGGTAGTACTATTTTTTTACCGAGATCAAGAACTTACACAATACACTGTAAAGACTGCTTGATATTTGGCAGTTAAGGCCACTTTATTTATGCTAAAATCAAATGAGTTTTTACAATTTAACTTTTTACTAATTGTTCCGTTATTCAAAATATTAATCCATGAACGAATTTGTAGGGTTCGAAAAAGGCCTGTTGATCAGTACCTGTGTGTAGCATTTAATTCTCTTTTATATTTTCCTATATCATTTACGATAATTTCATGATCAAACTCAAGATTGCTATAACGCAAAGTTTTTCTCTCTTGCAGTGAACCCATGTGCAAGCTAATTTTAGGTATACGGGTATAAACAATCTCTCTGTCCAAAATGAGTTCCATCTTATCTGTGATAATACAAAACCTTGCCGTTAATTTTTTTATTATTTCATGTCAGAACAATATTTGCCCAAGATCTCAATAGCATAGTATTCTAGTCACTTATGTAAACACCCTATATATCAGAGAATCTATCAAAACATTTCCTTATGTAACTATTTGGATCAGCAGCTGCTACCTGTAATCACCCGTTTCCCATCCACTTGCCCTTTCCAACCACTTGAACAGTGCTATGCCCTTGTCAGTTAACCTGTGCCATCAACGAAAAACAATTTATTTACTCGTACATGTTTTAGGGTACTTAAACTAGAATTTTGATTGATGGAGCTTTGGATTTTTTTTCATTGATGGCTTCAAGGTCAAACAACTGAATTTCTAAAGATAATTAGCCATATTAATTTTCCTCAAAACATTCATATATGATATTCAAGCTTACCCTATGGTATAAAACAAATTGTAAATGGCCGCTTCTTCAAGCAAATTGCCATGAGATAGGCAGGCTATATTCAGCAATTATACCACATACTTGTAACATCGCAATGTGGTATTACCGCTGTCATACTGGATTTATTTACACGTTATTTTTTGCTCTATGGGTGTAACAAAGCGTTTTACATTTCAGACACCTTAGTATTATTTCCTTTCGTTAGGTAACTTACAACACGGTGAATATTTTATGCAACAACACCTATAATGTATGAACATCAGTACCCCCTCCTTGTCCCTTGATATGCTGACATGACCCTAAAATCTGCTTTTATTACTGGACCAGTTATTGGAGAGTAAACAACCATCCTTCATTTGGCGAAATACACATGTACCTGTCGCTCAGTCACTGATACTGAAACTGAGAAACAGAAAAAAACAGAAACTATCTTTTTTCTCTCTTTCCCTAAATGCCATGATCGGGGTAACGTGCGTAAGGGTTATTTGCAAACAAGCACTGTTGTTCGTCTTGAAAAGCAGGTCATTAGTCATATCTCCCTTTCAGGCCAATTTACTGCTTTACATCGTGTTCAAAATCATTTGTTTACTAATGAATATCAATATTTCATTCAGATATATATTTACAGTATAACTTCCTTGTTCCTCTGAACAGGCGTATGACTGGAAACGTAAATCATTTTGAGAATTTTCCGATTATTTCATTTCTATATGTACGTACATACATGTATTTTATATGAAATAAGAGGGCACTTAAAATTGATTACATAACTTATATTAATTTTTGAGCTTTAACATCAAAATCTAGTTATAAAGGAAACCGGTTGGTGTGTTACTACTAGCCGATTCTAAATCGTAAACCCCCTTCAGCGATAATGAAATGGAATGAAGTTAGAAGAAGTTCTTGTCAAGATACGCTAAAGCAAACAATAAAAACTCCAAAAACATTCGATGTCTCGAAGTTGAATTATTTATACAATGTAATAAGCAAACAAAATTATCTATCATACTGGCAAATTTATTTACTCGCGATATGTTAATATTTTTCGGCTTTTAATGTATACAATAACGCCATGCTCATTCTGATGCTTAAATATAAAATTAAGCATTTTTATCGGCCGGTTGAAAAAAAGACAATTGCTGAAATTTGTAAGCGACACATAATTTTACCATACCTTTATCTAAAAATATGCCGCTTATTACATTGGATAAATAATTCAACTTCGAGACACCGTAAACATCGAATGTTTTTGGAGTTTTATTTGGTACAGAAATTATGAAATGTTGATACACAAACCGCCCTGTTTGTTTTTTTTTAATCCAAAATAACTGAAGCATTTACATATTATTGTATTATTCTTCAAAATGCAATTTCTTCGTTATTTGAGATATTACTAGAAAAGAAACAGACTCCTATCCAATATGAGAAATCGGATCCACATACAAGACCTGAACGAGTCACTATACACACATTTGCAGTAGCAAGGGCGTCTCTCATGCATCCTAAAAAAAGAAAATGTCGTCTTTTACTTACAGTGATTTGATGGTATCTAGACAGTAAAATGTATCTTGATGGTAACTTGTTGGTAACTTGATGTGTTATTCTCTATCGGTTTCTGTGTACTGAGCCGTACTTCTTTGTTTCTCCCACTATATCTATCATACACCTGTTTTGACCCAGATATGAACATAGGAGCTAAAACGGGAAGAGGGACCTGCTTTGCCAAACCCTTACTTTAAGCCTCGGTCACAACCGGACGCACGAATTTCAGGATCGTACGTCCCCTGCGATTTTTGGGTGTTGCGAAGGCCGTGGAGGTCGTAGAGGTAGAGGAAGATCTGCCTTGCGAGTCGCAAGGGCCACATGAGATGTCCTTTCAAGCAGGGATGCTAATTGCAAGGAGCGATGGCCGTGGAAATTATACTCGTTTCTTGAGTTTGTCTTGCTTCCTGTGTACGTGGCACACACTCACCACTTACGAAGGGAATGCAACGTACGGCGAAAGTAGTGCCCTTTTGCGTCAGTTTTGCTTCACACTTGCCTCACACATTTGTGATAACGTACTGACGGCGTACGCCAGTTTTGCTTCCTGTTCTCCTCATCTTTCTTCTTCCTCCTCCCCTTTTTCTACTATGTAAGCTTTTTTCTCTTGTCTTTTGGAGGCATATTAGAAACTAAATTGATCAAAAATTTGAAAATTTTGAAAATTGTTGTACACTTTACACAGTCAACGTTCATTGTAAAGACACGAGCGTGCGTCGTGAGCACGCCTTTTATACACAAGTCGTGGACGTGACGCACGTGCGACGCATTCCCGGTGTGCTCTCGACTTTGTTCGTTAGTTGTGAGGGCGTGCGCCTTACTCAACACGAAAAGGGCACTTGTTCCTTCATTGCTTGCGACGTGTGTCTTGCACAACGCGCGTCTCTCTTGCTNTATTTGCAAACAAGCACTGTTGTTCGTCTTGAAAAGCAGGTCATTAGTCATATCTCCCTTTCAGGCCAATTTACTGCTTTACATCGTGTTCAAAATCATTTGTTTACTAATGAATATCAATATTTCATTCAGATATATATTTACAGTATAACTTCCTTGTTCCTCTGAACAGGCGTATGACTGGAAACGTAAATCATTTTGAGAATTTTCCGATTATTTCATTTCTATATGTACGTACATACATGTATTTTATATGAAATAAGAGGGCACTTAAAATTGATTACATAACTTATATTAATTTTTGAGCTTTAACATCAAAATCTAGTTATAAAGGAAACCGGTTGGTGTGTTACTACTAGCCGATTCTAAATCGTAAACCCCCTTCAGCGATAATGAAATGGAATGAAGTTAGAAGAAGTTCTTGTCAAGATACGCTAAAGCAAACAATAAAAACTCCAAAAACATTCGATGTCTCGAAGTTGAATTATTTATACAATGTAATAAGCAAACAAAATTATCTATCATACTGGCAAATTTATTTACTCGCGATATGTTAATATTTTTCGGCTTTTAATGTATACAATAACGCCATGCTCATTCTGATGCTTAAATATAAAATTAAGCATTTTTATCGGCCGGTTGAAAAAAAGACAATTGCTGAAATTTGTAAGCGACACATAATTTTACCATACCTTTATCTAAAAATATGCCGCTTATTACATTGGATAAATAATTCAACTTCGAGACACCGTAAACATCGAATGTTTTTGGAGTTTTATTTGGTACAGAAATTATGAAATGTTGATACACAAACCGCCCTGTTTGTTTTTTTTTAATCCAAAATAACTGAAGCATTTACATATTATTGTATTATTCTTCAAAATGCAATTTCTTCGTTATTTGAGATATTACTAGAAAAGAAACAGACTCCTATCCAATATGAGAAATCGGATCCACATACAAGACCTGAACGAGTCACTATACACACATTTGCAGTAGCAAGGGCGTCTCTCATGCATCCTAAAAAAAGAAAATGTCGTCTTTTACTTACAGTGATTTGATGGTATCTAGACAGTAAAATGTATCTTGATGGTAACTTGTTGGTAACTTGATGTGTTATTCTCTATCGGTTTCTGTGTACTGAGCCGTACTTCTTTGTTTCTCCCACTATATCTATCATACACCTGTTTTGACCCAGATATGAACATAGGAGCTAAAACGGGAAGAGGGACCTGCTTTGCCAAACCCTTACTTTAAGCCTCGGTCACAACCGGACGCACGAATTTCAGGATCGTACGTCCCCTGCGATTTTTGGGTGTTGCGAAGGCCGTGGAGGTCGTAGAGGTAGAGGAAGATCTGCCTTGCGAGTCGCAAGGGCCACATGAGATGTCCTTTCAAGCAGGGATGCTAATTGCAAGGAGCGATGGCCGTGGAAATTATACTCGTTTCTTGAGTTTGTCTTGCTTCCTGTGTACGTGGCACACACTCACCACTTACGAAGGGAATGCAACGTACGGCGAAAGTAGTGCCCTTTTGCGTCAGTTTTGCTTCACACTTGCCTCACACATTTGTGATAACGTACTGACGGCGTACGCCAGTTTTGCTTCCTGTTCTCCTCTTCTTTCTTCTTCCTCCTCCCCTTTTTCTACTATGTAAGCTTTTTTCTCTTGTCTTTTGGAGGCATATTAGAAACTAAATTGATCAAAAATTTGAAAATTTTGAAAATTGTTGTACACTTTACACAGTCAACGTTCATTGTAAAGACACGAGCGTGCGTCGTGAGCACGCCTTTTATACACAAGTCGTGGACGTGACGCACGTGCGACGCATTCCCGGTGTGCTCTCGACTTTGTTCGTTAGTTGTGAGGGCGTGCGCCTTACTCAACACGAAAAGGGCACTTGTTCCTTCATTGCTTGCGACGTGTGTCTTGCACAACGCGCGTCTCTCTTGCTTACTCCGTGAGAGGGGAGCAAGTTACGCTTGCAGCCTCGCTGTTCGCAGGCTATTTGTAGAATCTTTTGGACATGTCCAACATCCTCCGTACGTGCTTACGGGCTGTCTGCGAACTCGAAATTGCGTAAGAAGGACTTGCGTGGGACGTGAGATTCTGCACAAAATTTGGACGCAAACAGCCCGTAAGAGCCCGTACGGCCGGTTGTGACCGAGGCTTTAATTCGATGATGAAAACATGTAAAAGCCTGATGATAATTATCTGTATTTCGGGTAGCCTGATCGACATTAGTCTCTATGCCAGTTCTGGGTACATTACAATTGATATTACATATAGTCAAACATGTAGACTCGTGTTTGCAAAGCTGAAGTGAGAATCGTTATTTAAAAAATTTAAAAACAATTACAAAAATAAGTTAAGCTAGCACCGAGAGTTATTGTACAAAAGCATAAATGAAATTTGTGTTAATATATTACTTTTAAATCATTTTTGTCATACTTCTATTTTTTAAAACATTTGACCAAGGTGGTTTTATTTTATTTGGTCGTGTAGGAACCCAAATTGACAACGTTAAATTCATACTGGAGAGATGACACTGTTCCAAGAGAGGGCGCGTGTGAGGGGGAACTGACTCCAAATATATATATATCCGTTTTCCTACGATTCGGTAAGTGCGATCTATAAAAATTGGAGGGTGGTTCTGGTGATACCTAGGCCCATAAGAGGCTGCGCTTACGTATTTTTCGAGATCATCATTACTATGGACATCAACATGTTTATGGGTTATTCATCTTTGACTGGGTTTCGCAGTAATTAAATCAATTTTGTCTTGAACAGAGCTAAACGGATTAGGATAATGAGACATTGGTCTGGATATTTATATCAACATTTTTCTCTTCATTACCAAGGTAAAACCATGTCCAAACTGTTTACAGAATTACCACCTGCAGCCAAGTTTTTTACCTCCGCCAAGGAGGTTATGTTTTCACCCCTGTTTGTTTGTTTGTTTGTCATCAACATAACTCAAAAAGTTATGGACCGATTTTGATGAAATATTCAGGAACTGTCAGAAGTGGGCCAAGGAAGAGATGATTAGTTTTTGGTGGTGATCCGGATCAATAATCAATCAATAATCAATAATAATCAAAAATCGAGGTCTGCGCTCTCTGAGTGCTTTTCTTGTTTTGAGTTCTAAATTTCTAGATTTTGAATCATCGTCGTTATAGAGATAGATACTGGTGAATTTCACTCGTGACAGTAAAATTCAGAAATTGAGAACTCGAAAACGTCGTGATATCCTCAATGATTTTGGATAGTGTAGGCCTATACCTTGGTGTTTTGGGATAATTGATGCAATTTCTACGAAAATACCGTGTCATATACATGTAGAAGTCAATTGTAGGTCTTGAATATTTTTATATGTCCAAGACACGGACTATATTGTTAATTTTAAAACTTGCACCACTTTGCGGTCTTTGACCTTTATAGCTTCCAACAGATGTATCAATTATCTGCCATACCTATTAAAAATAAAACGTGCACAGAGCAGAGATACCAAAGATGACAATGATTCCAGCAGACAAAAAACGTATACCGCGGCTGGCGCGCCAACAGTAGGATAATTGCACTTGTATTTCGCTTGTATTTTCATACGCTTCGAAGCGCCAGTCAGCTACAACTACTCGTCGTCCACTGTGTGCGACATACAAGAGCAAATTTTTGCCCTCTTGTATGTTGCATACAGTAACTAGTACATATCCTTCTGCTACCATTTTGTCATGGTCAAATACGCTAAGCGGAAGGATCCGTGACAGTAAGTAAAACGATTTCAAAATCCTGCACAGAGATGATTCCGTGATCAAACTGTGTTTGGAAACTCGGGTGTTCAACACAGATGGTATTAGGGTTCTTCCCTTCAAACATCACAGCGGCAAGATTGTTGGTTGTTGGTTGGAGCAAGATTGAATGGCTCAACCTCCATTGTACTCAGGTAGGAGTAGTTCACGTCGTACCTTTCAAACTTGACTGCGATGTGAATATTATTCCAATTTACCGATGTTGCAACCATTTCTCAATCAAAACTCTCGCTTGCCTTATGTATGGGTAGAGAAGGTAGGATGGCCATGGGATTTTGCACATGCCCAATCACTGACCCATTTGTGACCCATATATATGGACCTCATGAAAAAAGTCCCAATTGTATTATTTTACAGTTATAAGCAAAACAAATCACTACCGAAAAATAAAATTTAGGAATTAGTTAATGCATCAACTTTAGATAGGAAATTTGACAATCAGATGCTCTGTGTGCTACTCCACAACGTGGGAACACCAGCAAGGATGTGATGCCTATGGTCTCCTCACTTAGGACTCAGGAGGGACTATGTAGGCATTGACGGC